AGGGTTTGGAGGGTTTGGAGGGTTTTGGAGCGTTTGAGGCCTGGCAAACGGCAGCCTTGAACGCGTATAAGAAGCCATTGGTGCGGCCGTGGGGTGCCCTTGAGCCATTGCTGTGGCCTTGTGGTGGCTTTTGCGTGCGGCAGTGGCGCGTGTTGGGCTTGTTGGGGTACCTTTTCCCTGTGGAGCTGGCCGGACTTTTGGGGGGTTTGGAGGGTTTGGAGGGTTTTGGAGGGTTTTGGAGCGTTTGAGGCCTGGCAAACGGCAGCCTTGAACGCGTATAAGAAGCCATTGCTGCGGCCGTGGGGTGCACTTGAGCCATTGCTGTGGCCTTGTGGTGGCTTTTGCGTGCGGCAGTGGCGCGTGTTGGGCTTGTTGGGGTACCTTTTCCCTGCGGAGCTGGCCGGACTTTTGGAGGGTTTGGAGGGTTTTGGAGGGTTTGGAGGGTTTGAGGCCTGGCAAACGGCAGCCTTGAACGCCTATAAGAAGCCATTGCTGCGGCCGTGGGGTGCCCTTGAGCCATTGCTGTGGCCTTGTGGTGGCTTTGCGTGCCAGGCCAGTGGGCGTGTGAGGCTTGTGGGTACCTTTCCATGCGGAGCTGGCCGGAATTTTGGAGGGTTGGGAGGTTTTGAGGGTTTTTGAGGGTTTTGAGGGCCTGGCAAACGCTAGCTTTGAACGCGTTATAAGAAGCATTGCTGCGGCCGTGGGGTGCTCTTGAGCCATTGCTGTGGCCTTGTGGTGGCTTTTGCGTGCGGGAGTGGCGCGTGTTGGGCTTGTTGGGGTACCTTTCCCCTGCGGAGCTGGCCGGACTTTTGGAGGGTTTGGAGGGTTTTGGAAGGTATGGAGAGTTTGAGGCCTGGCAAATGGCAGCCTTGAACGCGTATAAAAGAAGCCATTGCTGCGGCCGTGGGGTGCTCTTGAGCCATTGCTGTGGCCTTGTGGTGGCTTTTGCGTGCGGAAGTGGCGCGTGTTGGGCTTGTTGGGGTACCTTGTCCCTGCGGAGCTATGCGAACTTTTGGAGCGTTTGGAGGGTTTTGGAGGGTTTGAGGCCTGGCAAACGGCAGCCTTGAACGCGTATAAGAAGCCATTGCTGCGGCCGTGGGGTGCCCTTGAGCCATTGCTGTGGCCTTGTGGTGGCTTTTGCGTGCGGCAGTGGCGCGTGTTGGGCTTGTTGGGGTACCTTTTCCCTGCGGAGCTGGCCGGACTTTTGGAGGGTTTTGGAGGGTTTTGGAGGGTTTTGGAGCGTTTGAGGCCTGGCAAACGGCAGCCTTGAACGCGTATAAGAAGCCATTGCTGCGGCCGTGGGGTGCTCTTGAGCCATTGCTGTGGCCTTGTGGTGGCTTTTGCGTGCGGGAGTGGCGCGTGTTGGGCTTGTTGGGGCACCTTTTCCTTGCGGGGTACCCCTTTTCCTTGCGGAGCTGGCCGGACTTTTGGAGGGTTTGGAGGGTTTTGGAGCGTTTGAGGCCTGGCAAACGGCAGCCTTGAACGCGTATAAGAAGCCATTGCTGTGGCCGTGGGGTGCTCTTGAGCCATTGCTGTGGCCTTGTGGTGGCTTTTGTGTGCGGGAGTGGCGCGTGTTGGGCTTGTTGGGGTACCTTTTCCTTGCGGAGCATGGCCGGACTTTTGGAGGGTTTTGGAGCGTTTGGAGGGTTTGAGGCCTGGCAAACGGCAGCCTTGAACGCGTATAAGAAGCCATTGCTGCGGCCGTGGGGTGCCCTTGAGCCATTGCTGTGGCCTTGTGGTGGCTTTTGCGTGCGGCAGTGGCGCGTGTTGGGCTTGTTGGGGTACCTTTTCCTTGCGGAGCTGGCCGGACTTTTGGAGGGTTGAACAGCAAAGGCTGCCGGCCAGAGGGCGTGGTGGCAGCTGCCTCGAATGCCCTAACGAGAGAGGGCTATGTGCGTGGAAAAGTTCCACACCTGCGGTGGTCCCAGGCGCCGCCCCGGCCTTGGCGAAGGCCGGGGTCGGCGGACATTGCATACATTGCATACATTGCATACATTACATACATTACATACATTACATACATTACATACATTACATACATCCATACATCGATCCATCCATCGATCCATCCATCCATCCATCCATGCATACATACATACATACATACATACATTCAAATATTGTGAATTGTGTGGATTGACTGTGGATTGACAGGCTAGATGTGCTGGTCAGCTGGCGAATCCTGACTGGAGCACTGGTGCGCCAGCAGTCTTATGAGTTGCTCGCGTCAGATCTTGGGAAGACTTGGGAAGTGCACATGTTTGGCACAAAACGAAGGAACGAAGGTCAAGGACCAGCAGTTGTAGCTTCGTCAGATCCAGTCAGTTTATCAGTTATCCATGGTACCTTCCTCAACAGCCGCGCAGGCACTTCAGTTCCAGCCTCAGCCACCACAATGAGGATAAACGTGATAAACGGTAGCCACACTGAGATATCTGCAGACTTTTTTCGACAATGTGCCTTGCAGACTTGGTTTGATTTGGTTTGCGAGGCTAGGCGCTCCCTTGCTGACTCTCATTTGCCTTGCCGCTGCTCAAGGGGTTAAGGGTTTTCCGGAGGCCAGGATGTCACAGATAGCGGCATAGCGGCGTAACCTAGCTGCTAGAGTCTGCAAGAACTAAAGGAAACAGCAAGCGCAGTTGCCTTGTCATTGGCATTGCCAATGCTTGAGAGGCATTCAGATGGATGGAGTGGCTGGTTCCCGTGATTTTTGCAGCAGCCTTATGCCAACTTCGCCACCATCGAGAATGTTGTGCACTCTTTTGCCCAACCGTCCCATATCAGTGACACAGTGACCCAGGCAGTACTTCTTTCTCTTTCTTTCCACGTCAAACTTTGCTCACATGCTGAGACTCGCTCTGCACCCAGACAGGCCCTGCACTTCTTCTGGCTGTACTGCTGCTTGCGGCTTGCAACGGTGTGGATCCCAAACGCCAAGCCCGGCATCGATCGGAACCTGTCACAGAACATGTCAGACGACCGGATGTCGCTACTGCGCTCAGGGCCACGGAGAGAAGGTTGCTTTGCCTGGAAAGGTGCAATCAGCATAGCTTTCAAATCTTTCGAATGGAATTGTTCCCTTACCATTTGCATCCATTTGCCACAATTGTTTTTGCCATATTAATCCCTTCCCCCTAATACTAACCCCCCCTCCCCAAATAATAAACACCTCAGGTAGTTTTTATTATTAGGGGGGGTATTTATTATTCGGGAACCAAAGCGGAGCCTAATAATAAATTAAAACCCTTAATAAAAAACTATTTTTTCGATTTCAAAATCAATTAACTTTCCTTTTATAACGCAATAAAAATATTGCCAAAAATTGGAATTCGAAGCGGACCCTAATAATAAATTTGAACCCTTAATTAAAAAAACATTTTTTTTGATTTCAAAATCAATTGAATTTCCTTTTATAACCCAATTAAAATATGGCCAAAAATTGGATTTCGAAGCGGACCCTAAGACTAAATTTGAACCCTGAATAAAAAAAACTATTTGTTCGATTTCAAAATCAATTAAATTTCCTTTTATAACGCAATAAAAATATTGCCAAAAATTGGAATTCGAAGCGGACCCTAATAATAAATTTGAACCCTTAATAAAACAACATTTTTTTTCGATTTCAAAATCAATTCAATTTCCTTTTATAACGCAAGTAAAATATTGCCAACAATTGGAATTCGAAGCGGACCCTAATAATAAATTTGAACCCTTAATAAAAAAACATGTTTTTTCGATTTCAAAATCAATTCAATTTCCTTTTATAACCCAATTAAAATATTGCCAAAAATTGGATTTCGAAGCTTCCCCCTAATATTACATTAAAAATCCTAATGCACAAAACTAAAATTTTCGGACGGACCCTAATAATAAACACCCCGGGGTTAACTAGTTATTATTATTATTAGGGGGCGAAACCCACAAATGGTAGCCTTATTTTTAAATTGTTTTCTAAAGGGGATCAATTAAAAGTCAAATTGGCCAACCTGAATTTTTCCAAAATTAAAGATGGACCCTAGTTTTTATTATTTGGGGGGTTTAGTAATAGGGGGACGGGATTACTTGCCAGGCAATTCATTTTTTTTCTAGTCTTTGCCATTGTCTTTGCCTCTGTATAATTGTGGCAATATTACCAAGATTCTCCTAAGTGAAGGTCTCAGTTGTCCCCACAAAGCAGATCGTTCCGGGATGTTCCGGGAGTATTGGCACACAGCAACTAGCAACAAGCCTCTGCGCTGAAATAGCCAGGCTTCGTTCTAGTTTCGGCTTAACATCCAAGCCAACCAGGGCCCCTCCACAGCCCTGCTCCACCACATCATCCCCGTCTCATTTATAGCGCAGGACATAAACTTAGAACACATTTTGGAAAACAGGATTTCCAAATTCTACAGTGGATTGTGTTCTAAGTGTCTCACTAAGAATATGTTCTAAGTGAAAGGGTACATGTTGCGCGCAGAAGAAATGTGTTCTAAGTGTATGTTTTTTTTAAACATTTTGTGTTCTAAGTGTATGTCCTCCACTATAATGTGAAAACAACTCTCATTGAAAGCGAACGACATATTCATCATGATGTGTATTGTGGCCAGATGGCAACTTGTGCCAGCGTCACTATTGGCGGTAGAGGTTTGAATGGTTTCAAGATTGGCAGATGTGCACAAAATTTGGTTTGCGGTGACCACTTGCTTGTGACACACGCAGAGGCAATGGGAGGTGCTTCGTTTCAATGCTAAATACCATTGCCAAGCATCAGCCTGTGGACCGTTGTTGGCTGTGTACGCCACTAGCTCTGGCAGTTCCGCGGTGTGCTCTACCTCGACGTTTTTGGCTGGCTATCTCTTGAGGCGGGTCGCACTGGCGGCATGGTGTTTCGAACTGATTTGTGCAATTTTTGGTGCACATCTTGTTGACATCCAAGAGAGCCGCCCCCTCCCCATCCCAACTTTTTAACTGTGTGTTGCATGCAGAAATAGCCAATTGGATAACTCTTGGACCAGGGCGAAAACCAAACGCCTCATCATGCAAGCAGAAGACGGAGCAGGGAGGTGTCATACCCAGCTGTTGTCAGAGTCAAAATGAATGCAGAGAAACATAGGTTCAAAATGGTTCAATTGTCATGAATTGGCCATTCTGAATGGGCCATTCTCCATTGAAAGGCGCAGCGAGATGGCACATTTGATGGTCCAAATCAGGCAGGGGGACAGGAGGGAGGTGTTTCAAGCAGCTGTCTCTAGTGCTACAACGCCACACACGCTGCCACTTTTCACTATTTCTGAGCACGTGCAGATGATCAAGAACCTTCGTGATCAGTTTCCCAGCATGCAAGCCAAGAGGAGGAAGGAGTTCATAGCCAAAATTGCCTTAAAAAGATATCAGACAACGTTCCAGGCAATGCCAGTGGCCGTGCATGTGGCAGTTGCTGATGATTGTCTTCGAAAGAAGGTGGACTGAAGATTTCAAGTGCCGAACGGCAATGACATGCATGGCCGCAATTACTGTGTGCAGCAAGAACTCTCAGGTCTCACCTGCCATCGATGCCAACGGAAATCTTCCAACAGTGCCTTTCAAAGCCCCAAGCCCCAAGTGTTCCATTCATTACAGGAACCATCAGGAACCAGTGGATCCCCATGAATCTGTTCCATGTCATCATGCCTGAAGCACCCGATGTGAGGCGCAGCTTTTGCTGCAATTGGAAAAATGGGAGAGCCCCCAGATTGATGAAATTCGAGCCGCTCGTCTGATCATGTGAAAGAATGACAAGAGCAGGCTAGCATTGTTTGAATGTCAAATCAAGGATGCTAAAGAATCTAGTTGCGACATGTTGCGACAATTGCCTCCGGACCTTTGAATTGCCCTGAGCTTTGCCGAAATCTTTGTGGATTTAGAGCCAGGACAATGGGATGACTGCTGAAGTGGCAAGGTTGAGGTGGGAGCCTTTTAGTATCTGGACATATCTGGACCATTTTCGCGGATTGGGGTCTTGCTCAAAATCACCTGCTCATGGCAGCACCGGCGTAAAGCCTTGTTCCTTTGAATCCCTCTGACTGTACTTATTAAGCTGTTCATGATCACTGTCCAAAATTGTCTTAACAGTTAACAATCACAATGTGAACTGATGTGAAATGGCTTATACATGCTTATACTGTAAGTATCTTATAAGCTATATGGTAATATTTCCAAGCTGGAGATTTTCGCATCAGGCAGCTCTTCAACACTGTTGAGGAGGCCACTGTTTTTCAAACCGTGTCAATGTCAGCTCCAGCCACCTTACTCGGCTGACAGAGCTTGTCTATTTTGATGTGAACAGTTCAAATTCGTAACTTCTGCTTTGTGATTTTTGTATATTTTTGTATGTGTCCATTTCCAAGACTCTCTTCAGAAATGGTACCTCCGCAATCACCGCAATTGAATTCTCAGCTGATTATTGCTAGCGCAAGTTCGCGATCCGACAAGCCAGACATAGCCAGAGTATAGTGGACTCACTGATAGCTGCTTAGCCAGACATAGCCAGAACATGGCGCAGCAATGGGACATGAGGACATCGCAAGCTGCACTGCCTCGATTATTAACCTCTTAGCCGGCCGGTATCATCATGTTTTATCAACCTTGATGTCTTCGTAGAGTAAGATCAGCAAGGCGAACCGACAAGCACATTTGCAGCAAGTGTAGTTAGAGAAGAAGCCATGTCTAGCTCTTCGTCTGATAGTTCTGATTCCGACAGTGAGGAGAAGAAAAAGAAAGACAAGAAGAAGAAAGCGAAGAAGAAAGACAAGAAAAAGTCGGACAAAAAGAAAAAGAAAGATAAGAAAAAGAAGAAAGACAAGAAGAAAAAAGCATCATCATCGTCAGATTCGAGCGATGACAAGAAAACAAAGAAAGATAAGAAGCGGAAGCAAGAAGAAGCTGATGCAAAGAATGCATGGGTTGCAACCAGGATGAGGGAGCTTAGAAAAGCAGATGCGAATCTGGCCCTACGTGATGCAATGAAAGCAGCAGAAGAAGAGTATCAGCAAATCTTCAACAAAGCAGAGGCGCCGAAGAAGCCTGCAGAAGATAAAGCTGAATGGGGTTTGGCTGCGGCAGCAGAAGCTGCAAAGGAAGCAGAAGATGAAGCCCGAAAGCTTGGAAAAAGCGAAGAAGAGATTGCCCAAGCTGGCAAAGAGGCTGGTGAGAGGGCCATGCGTGTGGCAGAGGAGGCTGGGGTTTATGCCCCACCCAAGGAACTCCCACTTTTCATGCAAGCACGGCTGCAGCAGCAGTCAGAAGCAGCCAGACTGGCTGCCATGCCAGCACCAACAGCTGGTGAGAACAGCAGACCTGCAGAGATGATGGAGCCACGCAGGCTGGCCTTAAAGCTTCCTGCTGACACCAAAGACAAGAAGAAAAAGAGATAGCTGCAGGGATGAGATGATGAGAGTCATCGGGGTGCTCGGTGCTTCAGAGAGATGTCACAGTCCATTTCCGTGACGAATTTCAGAGTCGGTGAGCTGTGGCGGCTGCAAAGTAGGTAGGTGATCTACATTGCATAGAGTGTGGTGCTAGTGGAGAAAAGCTGCGGGCGTTTTCTGTACGTATGTTTGACTCATGCTTAAAGCCATGCCTTAACACTTAACGAAGGAAAGAATCACCCAAGGCTGAACGCAGAAACTGCCGACTCACATGATTCTCTTTGTGACAGGAGCTACAGGCTACGCTACAGAAAGTGAATGACCTCTCGCCTGGCCTCAATGATGCCCTCGTCTCAGCTTTTTGAAGCGACATCAGAGCTCATTGAGAAGTTGCTGGATGTCGCTGGCAGGCACAACGGGATCATCTACCGCGAGTGCTCTTGGGAACGAGATCTCAAGTTTCAATTTTTTTTACTTCTTTGAGATGCTCTCCTGAGATTTTAAAAACATATTTCGAACATATCATATCTAATTATCATGTCGTTTTGCATGTTTTTGCACACTTTTGCTCCCTCTCGCCGTACCGTTGCCTTGTCGGCTCTAGCTCCGAAAACGTTCGGGGCCATGCTGCTGGCCAGGCACCTGTGGTAAATCCGTTTCTTCATTCTTTTTCACGCTTCGAAAATCTTCGAAATAGTAAATGAAATGGTATGAACGTATTATGGAAATGGTTTGAACTTGGGACACCGTCAAATGCCTTCCTGTGCCTGACCTGCAGGCAAAACAGCCATGCACAGTCAGGCTGAGGAGAAATTCCCTGCACGAAGCCTATTGCGACAGTTTGGCATGACCCGACAGTTTTGTGCTTTTTCTTCTGTGCTGCCAAAGCTTTCTTTACTTTTCGCATCCTTTCTCCGTCGCCCCATTCGAAGAATCTCAGCATACATTACTGTAGTTTCAAGAACCCTTCTTTGGAGGTCTGGTACCGAACCTATGTGAAGTCCTCAGCAGCCATTCCATCATTGTTGTGGTTTCAGATAAGATTCCGATATACTGTGTACATCTGTATAACGTATATATACTGTACATTTGTATACTACGCTAAACCTACCTTGTTTGGATGTCAACTCTGTGTCGAGGTTCTTCTGATTTTGTTATTCACATGCCGGCTCGCCAAGTTTGGACGTTGGCACGATGCAATCCTCTTGCATTTGGGCGCGCGCCAGGCATCAGCAACTTAGCAACGCGAACGCAGCCTAGCTTCTTGGCATTAGCACTTCTTGTTTATTTTGGTTATTGTTGGTCTGGACTATATACATCATCGATACACTAGGTTTGCCTTGAGATGAGATGTCCCCATGAGCCCATGCGTAATTTTTTTAATATTTTTTTTCGTATATCTTTGAACATCTTTTCATACATTCTCAAACTGCCCCGCACAATCCTTTCGAACCTGATCCTTTGTACTGGGATATGGGTTGTGGATATCATCTAGGTCAAATCGTGCCAAGGCTTTCTCATCACAATACCTGCACCCGATTGTGCAAACATCTGCAAAGGTGAGGGGTTCTTTTGTCGGAAGATGTTGGCATTTCCATGCCAGATGTTGTTCGCATCTCATGGTTCATGATGAGTCTATCATGTTCTCTGATTTCTACCAGGTGTGTTGCTTCCATGTTGAGCGCTCAGTATTGGTTACACAGTGTATTGAATGACATCTTCCTCAAGCACAAACAAAGAGGTCACAGCTTGCGATCGCTTGATAGATATTCAGGGTAATTATATATTTTCATGAAATCCAGCCGTATGCCAGCAACAATTTGCGACCAGCCTTCTAGAATCAGGCGTTTGACATATGAGATCCGTGAGATGTGAATAAGAATTTCATCAGAATGTCCAAGATCCTACGTGCAAAACAAGCACCCCCAACTGGGGCCATTCGATCACCAGGCAGTGGGGGAAGTCTTTTCTCTTGGAATGCCATGTTCGAGACGTTTCGAGACATTGATATCGTTGATTTCGGTGTGAGTAGAAGTTTGCTGGCTGTTTGTGCACAGTGTAGCTTGTCGACCTTTGCAGGGAGGAAGGATGCCATGAGTGCAGTTCACAGCCTGCATTGTGGCAAGGCCACTAGTGATTGGAGAGCAAGATCAAGACTATACTTTGACATGTGGACACGAATAGACACAAGCTGAAAATACACAGGACCTGAATGCAACTATCCAAGACTCTTTCAAACTCTTTCCATCGTTGTTGAGATGTTGCAAGTTGTAACAATATGATCTGTTTAAACCAATTTTGCCTGTCCAGGGGCTGCTCAGCAGCATCCTCCTCTCAATGAGCTTACTCTGTTGAGAAAGGACGTCAGTTGCTTAAAGCACTTGATGCTCGATACATGTTACAGTGTCGCTTGTGCCTGCGGAATCGGCTCGCTTGTGCCTGCGCAGATCCTTTTCGACTTGAATGACACCGTTAAGCTCCTGCAGGTAGGTGTAAGAGATTGGCAGCTTTAGGAAATGTCTGGTCAATGTTCCTGGTCTTGATCATCTAGATAGATTCCAATAGATATTCCCATGCATCAGGTCCCTAACAGCCCTTCAAATGCTGAAGGTCCATCCCCATGCCCCTCCAATCCCCGAATCTGTACATGGTGAAGTGTTGCATAGGAACATTCGATAGCTACGTGATGCTACGTGTGTTGACCGCCTAGTCCCACCCAAACCCCCCATGTCCCTCCCAAGTCCCGCCAAATCCCCCAAAAGTTGACCCTAAATGGTTTCCTTTACTGTTACAGTAGTACCAGTAGTACATATAAAATCATATGAACATGTCAGTGCAAGTGATCCGTTTTGGTCGCCACAGGTGACCCTCCACCCCTCGGGGCAAAATCAAACAGATATTTCTTTTGCACTGAGCGCAAATAATCAACGTAACAGTTGCTTTTGATTGTGCTATGATATTGTTTTAGGATCCGTGAGCATGCTGGTTTGGAGTGGGGACATTGTTCTTTTCCCCAAACAATGGTGGCATTTTGGGAAAGACATGGCATAACTCTCCCAGAATCTGGGACGTTGCACTCCAGATTGATGCGAAGTCGCCTGCCGAGTTCCCTCATGTAGGGCTACTCAGTGTTTTGTGCCAGCCTTCTATATAGGGTATATTCCCAATTATAGCCATTTAATAGGGATAATGATCATTAACCATTGGGTTTAGGGGTACACTATTTTCAGACACACCCATATAAATCAACAGTTCTCTTGCAATGAAGATGTTGAATCGGGACTTGGATCTAGCATTACGCAAGCACAGACAGATGGCGGTGGGAAAGGTTTTATTTTCGCAATGTTTGCAGTGTCATTGCTGGCAATCCTTGCTGCTTGCCTTTCCACGTCTTGAAGCTAGCCAAATGCTTTCACGCCTGATAGAACGATATGGGTATGGATCAATACCTATTAATACCATTTTTAAGGGAATGACCATCCATTTACCAGCTATTTTGATGTTCACCAGGGGTACAAGGTTTTGACCCACTGCCATATGGGTCTCTATTTGGATGTTTTGCAGGTTCCACTGGGTCCTCTTCCACCGCGGAATGTGCGAGCATCAGCCCAGCAAGCACTTGCCGATCCTGCACGGGACCTCGGGACCTCCCGCGGGATATGGCGGTTTTCTGCAGAATTCTGCATGTCCTACAAAGGACTACAGAGGTTTTTTTAAATATTAGGCATCCTGAACTGGCTCTAATCTCTGCCCTTGCTGCCCTGCTTCATCACTACAGGAGTTGTAAGGACATGCTATCTCTGCACACCCTAACCTCAAGGTTGAACAAACAGGATCAGACCTGAAGAAGTTAGAAACATGTGGAAAGGAACAGCCACTTTTTTGAACTGTCCCAGCACACCACAGAAAAGTGATGAAAACTGCTTCCACTGTGAGCAAAACTGATAATGTCATCCAGGTGTATGTCCATCATCCTGTGCTATCAGATAAGGCGAAGGAGGCGCTTCCAATGTGCAGCATGTGTCACAACATGTCACAACATGTCACAACATGTCTTTCATCATGTTGGGCAACTGAACACCTGGCCACTCTCGGCCACTGCTGTGGATGCCAGGTGCTTGCCAAGGCTTATGATAATGGAAAGTTTGCACGCCTACAGGTGCCAGGTTGGCAGTGACTTGACATCGGGAATTTCCGCACGGCCAACCAACTGAGGTCGACACCGTCTCTGGATTTTACAACATGGCAGATGCGACCTGCAATGGTCCAAGATCCAACACTCCAAGATGTGCGAAAAATTGTGCATGGGTTTTGCTGCTCACCTTGCCAAGTATCTCGAGAATTCATGCCTGGGCATGACCTAGGCCTTTGGTACTGGCAGTATGGTTTGCTAATCGGATATGGATTCGCATTGGTCTATGCAGTCTGGAGCCCCAAGATGTGAAGGAAGTAGTTAAAGCCGGCAGTCTCTGGATATCGATAGATTAGATGCATGGTGCACGGCAGTCTCTGCATGTCAACAGTCTATAAATAAAGGTCTTGGGCAAGTACGTTCCTGTAGTCTGTAAGCTGCGATACCTTCTGGATCTGTTTGGATCTGACAAGGCCGGAACTATTCCAGCTGGATGGCTTTGCGTGGGCCTCTCAGCCGCCACAATTCTCGATAGCCACTAAGACATCAAAGATCCAAAGAGACTACGCTTTGTCTTTGCAGCCAATTTCAAGACTGCTTTCCTGCAACATCCATATCCATCAATGCCACTAACTCCTATGAACTGACATGCTAGAATGCTAGAGACTAGAGACAAATTTCATCAAATTACATCGAATTACCATGTTCAATGTGCCTATATAGTAGGGGAAGATCACTCGAAGCCTTGAGACGGCGTTGCAGTATTCACATTTAGTGCATTGTCTTTGAAGCCCTGAAAGCAAAATGGTGGGATGCTCTCAGCCAGGACCGCCATCGGCGGACCAGCATCATCGCTCTATCCACGTTCGTTTGGTCATTGTGCACAGCAATGCAGGCTGGAATTCAGAGACGGGGAGTGAGCGCACGTGAAATAATATAAAATAGCTGCGGATGAGGCTTGCTAAGACTGAAGATAGAAGGATATGTGGGGAGACAAGACGTCGTTTTCCCTGAGCTATTCAAATGCTTCAAGGAGCATGGTAAACGATGCTGTCTCAAGTTTCTCCACTAGTCCCAATCTATCTCTGCAAGTGGCCGTTTTGGTGGTGCGCCTTTGACAGGCCCAAGCCACTGATTTATTCTTGCTGGTTGGGTGTCGTGTCATGGTTGGCCTTGCTCAATCTTTTGGCACACCAGCCTGTTTGTCGTGGCTTGGCCGAACTTCGCCAACTTTCAACTGCCTCTGCGGCGTCAGTCGCTTCAGCGGGCCTTCAGCGCATCTGCCCTGAGGCTATTGGTGGACTACTTCACCAGTTTGCGGCTCAGACTTTTCTGCTGTGTCAGGCTGTGTCAGGGTACTCGCATCAGAAAGCGCACTGCTTGAGGCAATGGTGCACAACGAGACATGGCCCTTGCATTGTTGACTATGGTGGGTGTCTTCCCCAGAACGGCAGAGACCAATTCCTGAAAGGGCTTCACCATCACCATGGCTTTACCAAAAGTTGGAGTTGCACACACCTTTTCCACAGGTCCACAACTGGGCGTGGGCTGTGCTTCTTTCAGTGGCTTGATTGACACTGGTAGTATTGTTTTGCAGTCTTGCAGCGGTGGACTGCTGATGTTGGTAGACAGATTCCTGTGATTTTCTGTGTGTGTCTGAGTGTTGGTTTGCTTTGGCGCAGAGTTTCAGCTTTTTTAGAGGGAAGACATATTCTATCACTTGATTTGTTTGCACATTTGCTATCTATCGGATTTCGATAATTCCTCGTTCCAGACATAAAACTTGCAGATTGCAGGCATCATATTTGCGGAGGTGGTCGGATGGCGATGGGTTGTGCTACTGACAGGCACATGAACTGCCACCAGAGAGTTCACATATGCCATCAACATCCTCGTTATGACTGCTTGAGCAATGTGCTGGCTGCACACTGATCCTGGCAACAATTCCGCATCTTGTCCACGAGCTTCCTTCAGGTCTTTTGGGTGTCTTGCTGGCGTTAGTAATCCTAGTTACCATCAAGGCAGGCCCATGTTCTGGTGGCGTCTGAATCTTTCGCTTGATTTTCCTTGCTTCAGCAATGCAGCAAGGATCCAGCTAATGCATTGGGGGCAGGAGCCAGAGAGAACCGAATGGTCTGCTCCTTGCCCGGTCAGCGTCGTAGTCGAGGAGGTAGGCGGCACTCGTAGCTGCGCAGCATGCAGCAGAGCTTGCGCAAGACTCGAGTTGCCTCACAACCACGAGTTTCACCCATGAACCCTGAATCGTGCTCAATCTGGAACAACTTCCAAATTTGTTCAACGGAAATGTGTCAAATTTCCAAAGCATTCCATAGCAAGGGACACGATCACATTTGCAAGCGTTTCGCAAGCCCTCCAATCCTCAACTAGCGTTTGCATGGACGGACTGCTTTGTCTAACACCTTGCGCCAGTTGCAATTGAAGACCAACCACAATTTTGCCACGCTGTTGCTCTCAATCTTTAGCACTTGCCCCTAAGCACCCTTGCCCCTAAGCGCCCAAGCGTCTGCGCCAGTGAAATTTGCCACGCAGGTCTTCGAGAAGTCTCGTGTTTCAAGGCTGTTGATGTGGGCAGTGCCAGGATCCCAACCCATCCAACCCCGTCTCTGAAGAATTCTCGGGCATCTGCTTGCGCATCGGGAAGCATGGGAAGCTGCAAGCTTGATCAAGCTGGGACGTGCTCAGGTCTGCCAAGATGTTGTCCTCATACACCTTGACGGCATTTCTGCCAATTTGGTTTGCTCGACGAAATCTTGTAGGCTTGAAGAGCCCGTGAGTTGTCAACATATCAACGCACTCAACGCACCTTCATATTCAGAATCATTCAGCTGCTATATTTTCCAAGTGGATTCATGATATTCATGGATTTTCATGGATTCAGGCTACACCAATGATGCGTATGCATTCTGGAACGCCTTAGCGGTGTCATTGGCGGGCCTCTTCTCCGTCTGCCTTGGCAGTATCATAGGACCGCCTTCCCGGTGCAGTGATGGGAAGCTTTTCTGTTGTACTTCTCATAAGGCTTTGTGATTGGCTGCAATCAGCAAATACACAAACTGGCTGCACCACTCAGATTTCGTAAGCACAACAGCAGATTTCCAGGTGAGTGACTTTTTGATTGGACGCTACAATTCTGCACCGTTTCTGCACAGGACAACCATGGAGCAGGCTGGACGTGCGAGCACCATGTTACATAGGCCTACTGGGCGCTCTAGCCTCGCTCCCACTGATCTTCTTCATGCTTTTCACAGAGTGCCTCGGACTGCAGATGCGCGTGGCTTTAAAAAAGCATGTTGCGTTGAACGGTTTTTGAAGAAACATTGCGGGATGCCTTTCGTTGCCTTTGCGCTTCAGGTACTTCAAGACCTCGCTTCTTTGTCACTTGGGCGCATTTCCCTTCATTTCCTTCCATTTCTTTGTTTTTCGAAGTTCCGATGGACAAAGGCTACTTCCTGACACTCGTGATGGGTGAGACTTGGCTTGGGCCTTCCATGAACCTTCTGCAGCTTGCACAGCGGGATTCAGTACGAGGTAGGGGTTTGACGCAGCTTTCGGAGTGTAGTGGGGTGTTTGGATGCTAGAGAACCCAAGGAGAAAGATGCACAGCCTTCCGAAGTGAGTTTGACAATGCTGGAGACTTGCCGGTATTTCTGCTGGTTGGAAGGTAAGATGTTAGGATATATACGTAGTTTTCTTCAGAAAAATTGTGCCTTCCACGAACTCACTGTTTGTTGGCTCCTCTTAGTGTGACAAGATGTGACATGTTGCTGCCCGACAGGTCAAGCTACATCGATGCTTTTGGGCGTGGCAGCCTTGGCAGGAAATCTGGGCCCAGCACTTGTGGGCATTTTGGATCCAGGCCCCAATATCCGTGACCGAATCCATCTGTGTGGAAGTCGGATATTCCTTCCCCGGGAGTTTTTTCGTCGCAGGTGGAAGGGAGATTGGATTCCATTTGCTTTGGATTTGCTCAGCTGCTCAAGTTTTTGCAGCTCTGAGCTGCTCGGCATATCTCGGCATTCAGTCTCCGGTTGAACATTTTGCCATGCGATCACTTTTCCTTTCAGCTACTGGTACTGTGCTTACCCAAAGACTCAGTCGCAGATTTCTAGATGCATTTGCAAGTACTTGTATCACAATGACATTTTTTTTTCCATCGCGACACTGGGAAGGCTTTCTTTGGACAGCCCATGAGATCACATTGGACCCTGTCTCCGTGGGCTTGGGGTTGGCTCAGGACACCATGCACTTTGTCCTTGTGTCATTCTTGCTTTGGGTCCTTTGCCTGATGGCCCTTTGTCATTCTTGAACGATCTTTAACGTCCTGCGCGACCAGGACAAAGCACCGTGAGCACGACTCCCACCAGTGGAACTGACAGATGGGATGGCAGACACCAGAGCGCTAGCTGTTTCTGCGAAGCCTTTCACGGATTTGCCTGGAGAGCTCTGGTGATATTTGTTACGCTGATAGTCGGAAAAGGATGGAAAAGGTGCAGACTACCGCAGAATACCGCAAAATGCCGCAAATTGCAAACAAGATTGGCAGTAACTTTCAAGAGTTTCTACCTTTGCCATGCCAACTCTGACAAACCAATCTAGCACTGGCAGGTATGGCTGCAGTTGGAATGGAACACTTCTGGTCATGTGATGGAGTCAATGCCACAGCTCCTGCATTTGGAATCATTCCGCAAAGAGATGCACTGAACATGTCGATTGTTGCAGGGACTCCGACCGAATTCTTGAATCTGGGGCTGACAAGGTATTGGTACGACCCTGACACTGGTGAGAGCAGATGGTCCATGCCTTCTGTCAAAAGCTTACGCTACAGCAGCCAGTCCCAAATTGTGTGCTGACAAAACGGGACTGCGACTTTCTTTCATCCTGTGATCCTGTGCTCACCATGATGATACTCGGAAACGGTTGAAGCTCGATGAAGATCAACATCGGCAGAACAAGCGCTTGAATGGCCCATTTAGATACCTAAAATGAGTGTACAGTGCCGCACAAAGCCGTATTCTTGGATCCAAATTCCTTCACACAAGGCCCTGCATAGGCCTTTGTACGTCAGTGCTTCAATCTCTATAATATATATATATATCTCTCTCTCTCCTCTTTCTCAATCCGCTAGAACACGACTACTATCTATACTGTGTGCAGTGCCTCTGTATCCTCTGGTAATCTCCGTGATACATCTCTGGTGGTAGCTGAAACATGGCACCAAGGAGCCTGACATCACTTCACACCTTTCGAAGATGAACGAAGCAATTGAGACCTTTAGCTCCCAGGTGAAGGCGGCAAAGCCCTCATGGTGAAACAAATCGTGTCATGAATTTGTCGCCATGTCAGCCAGGCTCTTGCAACGCTCATCCCCCAGGAACAGCAGCGACAGACCAATAGAACACATCACATGGAGCATCAGCCGGGAACTCAGGATTTTGCTGAAGGGATTGTGTGAATGTAGCCACACACATGGTGGGCAGATGTGCAGTTGAACTATGTTGAACTGTTGACCTTCCAAGAATGTCAACGTTTACGTATACTCTTGCTGCATTTTTGAGCTGGAGCTCGCTGTGTGAAGCATCGAGGACTTCCACATTTAGCGAGGCACTCACACACTGTCGCACACTGTTGATTCCAGTGCCTTCGTCGGAGCTAGGGCGTTATTTCTAATCACCTGGGCGAAGCAGCCGTTGACCTGTCTCACATGTCTTTGCATAAGCAGTATATAGCAGTACATACTGCAGCAGTATATAGCAGTATCATTTCGCATTTCTTGTTGGTCAAGAGATCCTGCAGAAGGATCAGAAGATACATGGGCAAATTGGCAGGTATCTGATGGCCACACTGCGCAGAATTTGCTTCGAGGCTTGTATGTTAAATCTTGCAAAGCACCGTTGAGTGCCATGCATCATCAGAGTATAATCATGTTGTCTATTTCTTCATTTTCTGATTTGGAGCAGATTGAGCAATCAACCGACCCACCCAGATGTATGCATTCAATTTCTAGCTAGCTCAGAAACTGTATAGACACTCTTTTGGGGCTGACCATTTGTCTCCCAACGTTGTTTGTGGGCTGGTGTGGGGGTGAGGGGCAGTGTGTTGCAGGGAGCAACGCTGATGCGATGCCAGACTCCTTCTTCAGCTCAACCGTTGGAGCCTGGGTTGGATTTGGTAGGCTCTTGGACTGCATGGTCAAGCTGAAAGGCAGATAGGCATGTTTCATTTGAAACTTGCCACTGGAAAAGCGTACTATCTCCTTTGAAAGGGAGTCCACCTCCGTTTGCGCTCTGGTAAGATCTGGTAATCAGTTTGATGCGATCTAGAGATTGTGTCGATTATGTCAACAAGGCAGCTGCACCGGTCACTTTTCAGCCGGAGCAAACGGAGCAGGAGGCTTGTAGAAATGTCATCGTCTGGTGCTAGACCATCTTGGAATCTTTGATTTTTTTTGAGTAGTTGAACGGGACAGAGCTTGAAATTTGAGTTGCATTTGAAATCCTCTGGGTTGCCCAAAGCTGACGCATTTGCCACAGGCAGAACATCAACAAACAGACGACGCCTCCCACAGGAGGCGGCGTCGAGTGTGAGATAATTGACAAGTTATGTTTAGATAGTTAAATATACGTAGTTAAACCATGTTAAACCAATTCTTGGCTAACATTCTCTTCCTGTTTCACAGGTCAACACTCAGGATGCTTGTAGTTCAGGGCGTTTGCATTTCCTTAGTGTCCTTTCCTTTTCCCTTCGGCAACCTTAAGCTAGGCCACTCAGATGTGAATCGCTGTGCATCAAAACTTGCCATGTCTGCTCCAGGAGGGCGCCAGGGCATTTGCCTTGGGCTACATTTCAACAAGGTGCATCTAAGCATGGAAACTCATCGTACATTTGATCAGCTTTTGTGCAAGCAGTCCGGAGGTCCGTTCATTTTGGTCAACATCAATGTGTATATTATACACGAACATAGATATACTGTGTACAGATGTATTTTGATCGTATCATATTCTGGAATCATCTGGAATCAATTGTCCAGCCCCCTTGGCCTTCTATGCTTCGGACAAAGGTACCTTTGCTCTGCTGGGCCTTTGGGCTATTGGCGTCTTCTGGCACAGACCTTAAAATGTCTCATCTAGGAGTCCCAAATTCAAACCCCAAGCCTTTCCCAAAGAAGCCAACCCCTCATTAAATCCTTATTAAAAACAGCTTTTCCACAATTTTCCAACAGGGCGGCTTTGACGGCATTTGCGTGAGCTGAGCTCTGTGGCTACATGGACCCAGTTTCCGAATCTTCGGTGTGCCAAGGTCCCTTTACAAAATCATTCGCGATCCGGAGTGGGTCAGGAGCATGTCTCAGCAGCTTTCAATGGCCAACTTCCTACATCTAATCTCAGCGAATAAATGCTAATAATATAAATAATATCAGTGAACTGGTTGTATTCCTGCTTTAGGCCTGACGTCACTGGTCCTGGCCTATCCGACTTGTCCTTGCACTGGGTGCGCTGCCGAGTGCAAGGACTCTCTGCAGTAAAGTCAACAACATGTCCAAACCATGTCATTTGGATCCCGATCATCCATAATCATCCTACTATTGGTGGTTGTATCACTAGTAAAAACACATTAAATTATATATATATATATATATAATATATACATTATATAAATATAAATATATATATATATATTATGTTTTTTTGCTTATGGTGCATAGTGGCTCACGCCGCGACCAAGCAGCAAATTCGGGTTCATCTGCGAACTGCACCACCGGCAAAATCTGGACCTATGACATCGCTGTACGTCTGTACACACATGGATGCACAGGTCTGGAAAAAGGAGCCGGGGATCTCTACAGTGGCATCGACTGGCAAGTTGCGCAGAGTCTGCCAAAAGGACGTGGCCAGTGCGCCACAAAGGCCAGGGGGGTACTCTTTCAACACCATTGTGTGAAATTTCCCGTCAGTTCCCTGCCCGATACTCACCGCTTTCGGGAGTTCGTCTACCACTCGCCAACGGCAAATCTGCTGCCCCAATGTGGGAAGATTCAGCGCCAAAATCATGGTTGGTTTGGCAGAGACTGCTCCAAGGAGTCCTTGGGCAAATTCCCACAAATGAAAGCCAGGCAGGAGAAGCAGCATTTGCAGTAGTGGAGTATTCCAAATGGAGGCAGACGTAGTTTTTGGTGGACGAGCAGGGTGCTCTAAAGCACCACAGCCTCCAACATCGTATAACACCGTCATCATCATGAGACAGAACATCATGAGTTGATTGCCCACCAAAATCTGTCGGATTTCACGCAGCGACAAGCTTCCAAAGCCCCAAGGCTGTTGTGCCGATCGAATGACTCTGGGTCCCCTCTTGGTCGTGCTGGCCAGTGTGTGTTCTCTGGCTCGGCTCCAAGTCTCGCAGGGAGGCCCCCCTAAGAAGGCCACAACCCAGCCACGTTGAGCTGCTGAAACCCAAAAATTTTGCACCTTTTCGTCACTTACATCGCCCCATTGGCTATCTAGAATGATGTCCACGGAGAGGGTATGAACAACAATGCCAGGATGCCTATCAGTGATTGCATCAAGGAAAAACTGGAAGTCCCCTTGTCGGCGACGCCCTGAAAATGCGTGCAAAATAAATCTGTGAACACCAAAACTCCTAGGCTTTGCAGTAGCGTCAGCTTTGGCCTGCACAGTGGCATTGTCACACTGCCACTCCAAATCATGGACAGAGCGCTCAGGTTTCATGTCCCTACATGAGTCATGAAACCAGGGCCATTGTGCTGGGTCAGTCATGGCGTTCAATACTTCCTCAAACGTGGAGCGTGTCAAACCAAAGGCTTGCAGGTCATCTTCATTCGCATTGTCCCGCAAACATTCCAGCATGTACACAAACTGCGACCATGAGATGGCTTTGTTACGGGCCCTAGCGCGCATCTGTTGGCACTTTTCAGTAACAGGCATCTCTGACAACAAAACCTCAGTAAATTCGCCATATAGCTCCACGTCAAACTCTTCAATGGCTCTGAGACGAGGAGCAGGCAAACATGGTCCGAGGCTAGCAGTAGGAGGAAGCATTCCATCATGGTTTTTGGTCATAATCCGATCTGTCTGTGATCCATGGCCTTCCTGTGGACAACATCTATGCGGCTGACTCTGAAGGCTTACTCTGCAATGTTCCGAATGACGTAGATGGTTATGGAGTTTGCCAAAGGTAAAGAACTCTTTCATGCAAACCTCACATCTCGTATGGTCAAACAGAAACCGGATGGGGGAAAGAATCCCATGCTTCTTGAACATATGAGCACCCTCGCCCCCTTTGGACTTGAATGCCTTTCCACATTGCATACAGCCATATCTCTGCGGAGCATGAGGCATCATGCATTTCGGATGTGTATCGGGCAACGGAACAAGATGGCCATGATCATACAAACAGTCCAAAATGCTTTGGTGTCCAGATTGGATCACCCATTCATTGTGTCTTTGCAGAATGGCATGTTGAATGGCTCGCTTAATAAGCCCTTTCCAATATGGTCTGTGGTATAACCACAAATATCTCCAGGCATCCAGGTTTTGGTCCGGAGGCGGCAATGAGGAGCTGTTGGAAAGCTGTCGCCACATCCATGCCAAATCATCTTTGACCAATGCACACCACTCCTCATCTCGATTGAGCAAGGCCCATGTCACTACATCAGCGCAAGAGTGCAGCGTGCCCAGATATCTCAATCTTGCCTGTCGCATGAGCTCAGTTGGTGAAGGCAAGCTCACTGCCTTGAGCACCCAATCATCTGTATGGTGATCATCTGGCTTACAGCCAAGAAGTCGCCTGTAAAGCCTCATGATGGCTGCATGTAGGTATTCTTTGGCTTTCTTTTCTCGGAAGACCCAGGATTCGCATCCGTAAGTCATCTTGCTCATGATCAGGGTGTTGAAGAGTTGAACTCTCTTTTGTAGAGAGATTGCTTGATTTTGGTAAATCACTTTCCGATGGGTGTTGAATGCCGTATTTGAGATCGCCACACGGCGTCTCATTTCTTGGCGATGGTCTCCTCCGTGGTGCAACAATCCACCTAAGTGCTGATATTGTCCAACCAAGGATACATGATGTGTGGCTGCCTCGCAAACAATGGGGATTGTTCCAGCTGAGGTGGGACCAAAGAGGGATTGCTTGACCTTGCGTACTCCTTTTCCACGCAAGGATAGGAGAAGTTCGGTCTTCCCCTTCTTCAAATTCGGCGTCATGCCAAAGCCCACTAAGGTCTCTAGAAGCAATGAGGTTGTGACTCCCGCCTTCTGCACCAGTGCACTTGGCGTTTCTGCAGAAATACCCACACAAAGGTCATCCATCCAGATAGGACCTGTGTAGGGTCGGGATGTTGCTTCTGTTCCACCGCCATCATAAGGATCCAACTTATTAACCTCATGCACATACTCTTGAAGGCCTAGTTGCTGCATGCGCTGCTGGAAGCACTTCATAACACGTGCAAAAAGGTAACTGAAAATGACATCAGCAAAACAGTCCCCTGGGCGCGATCCAACTGAGGTGTGGCAGCAATCTTCTTGGCCGTGGACTTGGAAAAAGGTGTCAGTATGCAATGATTGTAGCACCCTTTGCAGGTGCCCTGGCAGTTGGGCCTGGTGGATCGCACACGGTTGTTGCAGGTGCTCCTGCAATTCATGCAATGTCTCAGGCGGCATGCCCAATTTTGCCACAATTTGTGCCATTTGGTGATCCGTGTACTGGCCTCCAACTGCAAGTGGACGCAAAACCCTATAAAAGGCTTCAGTTAAATCAACCATAAGCAATCCAATTGACAGGCCTTTTGATTGTCCTATACGAAGGTATGCTCTGGCTTCATGAAGGCCGAGGGTAACGGGCACCTTGCGCCGTCCTCCGAGCTGTTGCGCACACAGGAATGTTTCATAGAGTTGTGCCTGGTGCTGTCGAACAGCTCTGTGAAGAACTTTCCCCATGTGGGAGCTGATCAACAATGAGCGGTATGATGATGGATCCAAAGTCGAGCCCTTGCCTTTGTAGGCAGGGACTAAGATGCCACCTTTATGATGCAAAGATTCCTGACCATGGACCATGAGTTTCATGAGAACACTGAAGTACTGCTTTGCAAGGATGGTCGGACAGGCCTGGCACAGTTCAGGTGGAATGGCATCTTGTCCCAAGGCTTTCCCTTTCCGGACACGTCTGAAGGCTACTTCAAGATCGGTCAAGCTGGGAAGATCATTTGGACCGAGGTCAATCTGCTGTTGCTGAAATGTTGTCAGGCTCTGTGTCCATCTGTCAATCAATGTGGACCATGGCATTCGCTCCCCACCCTCCATCTGTCCAAAAAAGCTAATCCATTCATCTCTTAGCTGCTCTGGGCTCACACACTGCTGGCCTTCGGTGTTGAGGAGCATGGGCAGGGTTGGCTTTTTGAGACATTTGAGGTTCGTAGGGCCAATGTGCTGCTTGAGGAGTTGCAGGATCTCCCCTGCAGTTGCATCTTCTGACAGAGCATGTAATTCTTGACAGACGGCCTGCTGTCTTGCACGTTTGAGTGCTTTTTTGAGGCGGCAAGCCAACACATGTAAACGCACACCTTGGTGAAGCTTCCAACACGATAAGGCCGCAAGGTATTGATGGTATATGTCAGCATAAGTGATTTCTTCCACAGGCTGTTCATGACATCGTGTCTTCCATCCAAACCATGCAGCTCTGAGCAGCTCAGCTCGCATGCGTTCTTGAATGTGTTTTCCCACCTTTTTGCACTCCAACTTCTCTGTGCGCAGCGCCCAAATGTCTTGGGTAATAAAACTTTTCTTGGGCTGTGTCGGCAGTGATGGGCATTCTTGCTGCATGCAAGTCAGCAGGTGCTGGTTGTGCTGCGTAACTTGTGAATGGACATCTTGCGTCCACGGTGAAGCAGTGAACTGTTGAATTTTGGGCTGCAATGTCTTGTGATTGATGGTCTCTCTACAGATTCCCGGCTTGCGCTTGTGATTCCTGGAGATTTGACACATGTCAGTCCACGTGATTTCGGCTGCCATGACTACATGATCCCAATTATGGTTGCCCAAATCAAACTCATCAACAACTCGCGAAAACATGCAGTCTTTGAGTTTCGGAATGGGGATGCATACATGATCAATGCAGTTCTGGATAAGCCCATCAGGCGAGGTCCAGGTGCTCTGTGGGCCCTGGTGGCATGAGAAAGTGCTTGGCAATGCTAGATGCCATGTCTCCAGAAATTCCCGCAATAATGGGGTGGATTTTGAAACTGCAGTTCCTCGTGGCCCCACATACATCGCATCCGTGTGACCTGGTTGTGCATTGGCATCTATGAGGACATACAGTTCAGTATCTGCAACATGCTGCGCTAGCACATCGTTGAGCTGTGTCCACCAGGTTCTGCGGACTTCTTCAGTGTGACCACTATGCGGGGCATGTCCAACCACAATCCACGCCGACCACAATTCGTGGGCAATTTTGACCAACATCAATCTCGGGTCGGCATGAACGACCACGAAATGTTGCTTTTTCAAAAATTTTGGTACACGACCAATGTAGGCAAATGGCTGCTGCAAATTCACCCACAACTCCACCCCATAGTGTCCTCCAATACTGGCTGTGCCAAGGCGCAAGACAGCATCACATTGTGAGCAGGTGACATTAGATCGTGATTCTTGTATGCCCAGCAGAAGTAGGTGCATTGCTTTCATCTGATCTCTGATGTATTGGAGTTTTCCACTGTAACCGTCTGGTCCAGCATGCAAGGAATTGACATTGGCTGTAGCCAAACTGAGACAGTATTTGACCTGCCGGCAACGCTTGACTTCCGTTTCAACTGTCTGAACGTCAACCGGGAGCGCTGGAGGTCGTACATCAAAGACAGTTCCCGTAAAGGCAGGTAAACCCACCTTTGGTGTAACAATGGTCCACAAATGCTTCAATGAGAATCTCCATAACTGCATGTCAATGGATTGACGCTTATGGTAAAAGCTACGGCGTTTTTCTTGTTTTGCCAAGCAATCAACGAGGTCGTTCCATGGGTCATTGCAATGCCCCTTGACATGCTGAATTGCAAGACTTCCAGGCAGGGTGCCTTCCAAACATTGGTAAACAGCTCTCAGATTGAGAAAGGAGGTCTCGGATGTGTGGGAGCCATTGGTGCCATCTGCTTGGCATCCAGCTGATTTGGAATCTGTACAGAAAGTAGTCGGCGTGTTGCAATTCTGCGCAAATCGCCACGCTCCACACCAAAACATGGCTTCCTTTTCTGCTGTCTCAGATCCCACTTTGTCTGAACCAATGAAATGACTTGCAGATTCATCATATAACACTGGTTGGGCCGTCCAACCCAGCACATTGATTTTGGAGCTGGTTGCATCCACATATTGTTCACCCAAAACTACAAACGCCCATGTGTCACCATGTCCTTCTTGTTCCACTTGCGCAGGGGGTCGTCGACGATGTTCCGGTTGCGAACTCCCATCTGCATAGATAACCAGTCGATCAATGCGATCAAGTGGCTCACACGCCAAGAGAGCACTTCGGACATGGGGTGGCAGTTCAATCCCTTCAAAAGATCTGCACAGGACATCTGCGGCTGAATGAAAAAATGCTTCAATGTGAACATGGTCGACTCCAATGGACCATGAGCATGATACCTCATCAGCAGTGGAGACAGTATGGGCATAAATCTCCTGTGGCGGCTGAATGACTGGCAATCTCTGCGGCCAGGGAGTGGGCGTTCGGTCAGCTCTTTGTGGCAAACATGGAGTCTGATTGCGAAAAACTACAACTTGACATTTTGCGTGAGTCGAGGGGGACATTTGCAAGATCACAGCTCTGGGATGTCCTTGTTGATATAGCCAACGCATGTGATCAATGGCAGTACGTGGCTTCACAGCAACATCGTGGTAAGTGAAATGATAAGGTTTATCCACCTCATCGACATACAGAAAATGCCATGACTCACTCGGCGCCCATTGATTCAATATGAGAAGTACATCAATGTCTGGCATAAAACACCATTCATATTCATCTTGAGAGTTGCTCCAGGTGCGGGCTTCCAATAGGACCTGCTCAGCGTTGGCATCTTGTGTCACCTGAATGTAGGTCGGGAGAGAAATAGTTTCATGCGCCACAATTCTCACTACTCTACCCGAACCTTCAGCAAAGGGAACTGTTGCGGTCACTTTTGTTGGAAGATTGATCTCCACATCTGTCACAGCAGTGCCCACACTTTGCATCCAGAGAGTGTAACTTGATGGCACTTGTTTCCTCACTTCAGCGTGGGTTTGCAGGAGGTTCATGTGAGAGTTTGCCAAATTCTGAGGGGGTGTACCTCTCTGTATGCGTAAATGGATGCTGCTTCCAGAGCGTCCCGGCCAAAGTTGACCCGGGAGAAGTTCTCTGTTCTGAATCAAGGCTCTACATTGAATTGGTCCGCTCGCCCACATACATGCTGGATCATATCCGCAAGTCTGTACAATGTGCTCTAATTGGATGTGTTCATGGGTCGTAACAACTAACCTCATGAGTTGTCCATCGTTCAGTGCCGTCATGATTGAGTCTTCGACTGACACAAGGTTCGATACCCATACATCACGCGGAGCCTGTATCAGAATAACATGGGCAGCCACCCCTCTCTCCATCTGCGGGGGTGATGGAGACACTAGATTCAATTCAAGTGACACTCTATGGTCAATCAAGTCCCTCCATCGGCTTCTGATGGTGCGTTCCCATTCCACGTAGTTGGAGTCAATCTGGACCTCACGGCTTTCAATACATATGGGAAAGTCCTCACGATGATCCACGAACCATGTCAGCACAGTGACCAATGCTCCTTCTCCTGTCTGCGAGCGTGTTTCATGACTCCAACACACATGTAGGTCCTGCACAAATTCTGGTTGAGTCTCAATGGAGGGATTCCCTGGATAGAAAGGCTGAGCATTACTGTTGAGACCAGAATGTGAGCCCATCGTGCAACTTGCATTCGTTTGCGTCCCTGAAGGGTGTGCATGTGCTGGAGTATTGGTTTGCATTAATGACATGCCATCAAACAGTGTTGTCAAATCTGCAGGCTCATGCGAATCTCTTTGAGTTGCACGCAGCTGCACATGAAATCCCGACTCCAGGTATTCTGGCTCAGTCTGGCTCAGCAGTCTTGTGCCATGATGAAAGGTACAGAGTCTGCGATGGCAATATGGCCAAAAGCCTAGAGTACGAGCTGCTGCTTGAAAACTTAATATATATTATGTATGTATATATATATATACATTATGTATATATATAAATATACATTATGTATATATATATATACATTATGTATATATATATATACACATTATGTATGTATATATATAATTTATATATATGATATTATATATATATACACAGAATATGATAAGTTGCAGATCTCAACCTTTTGCTCTGCCTGGACCTATCTGCAGCTTTTCGAATTCAAGGTCCGGAGCTCCCAGCTGAACTTACAGGTGATGCACTCCGCCTTGCCACATGGTCACTTCCGACCACAGGCACTAGGTTTCTTATGGTTTATTGATGTTTATATATGCGGTGATGATTTGATATAGAAAATAACTGAATATATAAACTCGAGTGTGATATTCATGTCTTTGCAGTCAGCTTCTCGTGAAAGGGCCTCGCCTGTGATGCCAAGCTGGGAAAGAGGCGAATGACTTGGTGTTCATTCCCTTTAGCCAGGATCGCATCCAGACCATCCAGATATGTTTTCTTCATTAAGTGTTAATCTTTGGTGTCACATGTTCAGTTTAGATATAGTCTTTAATTTTTGCGATCAATGGTCAGCTGTTTGCTTTTAGTATGAGCTTCGGGTCTGGAAGCATTGAGGCGAAGACACGGGATTGTAGAAAGGATTGCAGTAATACTCATGTTATATTGTCCTTATCTTTGAACGCAAACGACAAAAGTCCATAAAAGTCCTGCCTTCATCGAACTTCTCATTGGAAGCAGGTTCTTCGTCGCTGAGCGATATGCTGTGCATCAGCTGGTAGTTCCTGCAGGAGGGGATCCATCGTACAAGATATGCCGCGAAGAGATTTCAGGGAAAGTGGGGAAGTATATAGACAAGTGATAACTGTGAGCATAATTCATACATTTTTATTTACCTGCCCGGAAGTTTGTAGCCAGTGCCGCAGTGTGGTCGCTGTTGCAATAACATAGCCAATCGCCCAATCGCCAGGTCAAATCGAAGTGTTGGAGTCCGTGTTACTGTGTGAAAGCAGAATAAGTAACATGTGACGCCTTTTCGCATTTTTTCGCCTTACAGACACAAAGCAAATCGTGAAGTTCGGAGCAGCACATGGGAGTAGTCGTGAGCAGCGTAGGTCTGCTCAAATTCCACAGGACGTGCAAATTGTTTGTGTTGCACAGGACCTAGCGTCTTTTCCACGGACCTGGAAAAGGAATCAGTTCTGCTTGCCAGCACAGCTGGCTTTTGGCTAGCTTTGTTGTCGGTCGGGCTGACTGGACAAAGATCTTGAAATGACAGCAAGAAGCCTTTCCAGCTGAGAACAACTACTGAGTTACTGCGAAAGAAGATCCAGCAAGATGCACCTCTTGAAGCATTCATAAATGGTTCTGGTCATAGAGTAGGCCCTCCAGCTTGGATCTATTGTAGGAGGGATGGCAGCCGGCTGTGCAGCAGTGCCTCCACGAGGCTGTGAGCGATCCATGCCATTTGTTGCCATGGCCCGTGCCACGATGGCATTGCGAGGTGCCAAGCTTCCTAGCAAGCGGCATCCGCAGCATCACCATGCGCTGCCAGGAGGAGTGCTTCCTTGTGCCTTGGTGTGCTTTGGACCCACAGCCCGCCATTGCTCTTAGCCATTAGAGTCACGAGATTCGATTCCAGCAAAGGAGTTGCTTCTCATTTTACTTCTGATCTTGATAGGCTTTAGTTTCAGTAGAATGGCAGTGAAATATGTAATGCTCAAAACTGCTCCCAATGGATTTGAGACCACGAACAAAAATCTGCCAGGTACTACTGGACAGCTCGGGAAGATCACTTTTGACCTGCCCATTGGGTCGTGCCACACAGTTTCAGCATTTTCTGTTTGGTGGCGATACGCAGCATCGTGCTGTTCAGATGCATAATATGGTTTGTATCATTCTCATTTGGTCCTCCTTGTACGGGCATGGAGTTTCATGACGAAGACTTCACGAACTCATGAACCACTGAAACATACTGAAACGGTAAAGTGACTCTGACAATAAAAAGTCTGATTGCCTGACAAGCTATTTGCATCTACAGTATATCTACAGTATATCTACAGTATATTTGCAAAGTGAGGGGCAGACCTTGCAATCTTTTGGTCTCGGCGCCCGAGGCTCTGGGAACGTCACACATGCTGACCTCTATGGTGGTGAGTTTCTCAGGACAGTGTGACAGCTTTAACGCTGAATAGGCTGGTATGGAAATTGGAAAAAACTTTTCCATCCTTAGAGGAAATACACTGTAGGACACAGCTCTTCACATGCCAACAGAAGATCAAGGTCCATGGCAGGCGGTCGCATCCAGTGTGTGATTCCTAGCATTCGGCTTTGTGCTCACTGCAAGACTTCGCACTATGGAACCGAATCAGTATTGAGTGCATATGTGTTGCAGGTGCTTTTGTAGTGGGATTGTGGGATTGTAGGATCTCTCCAGCTCTTTCGGCCGTCCGCCCTCCCAATTGGTTCTTCCTCGTCTTCTCGAACCCCCGCAGTTGTGGCCTTTCGGCTTAGGTGCCTGAAGGGAGAGGATCTGGACTTTGGGCCAAAGGTAGACAGGTGCATCCCTCCACAGCTGCGATACCATCTCCCACCACCAGACATCAGGAAGATTCAGGAAGGCTTTTCAGTGGGACTACCATCGCTCTCGCTCGCTCCGATTCTGTTCTCTTCAACAACTGGTGCACCGCAGTACCTTACTCTAGTTTCAGGTCCTGCAACAGTTGATATGACTGCCTTGATTTCGGGACTTGGGGATTGCGGCTCAGACAGCTTGACCATGCGTAGTAGAAGCCCAGTCTATGAGCGGCCTTCAGGCATGATATGGCATGATCACATTTTTGCCCCGCTATTGGGCCAGTCTATTCTATGAAGAGTGGCCTTTTTTCCACCCTGGAACACAACATGTGCAAGCCGTGTTTAGTTTAACATGATTTGACATTTGAACATGTACGTCATGTCCGTCATGTCCATCAAAAGAAAATCCGAAGCAAACCTTCATCACCCGACTCTCCAACAGCACCAGCAGCAGTTTTTTTGGGAGTTGAAGTGCTTGCGACTCAGCATCATGGCGCCGACCAGAACGCCCAAGCAACGCCCTGTTGATATTGCCACTCGGCCAAACAGTTCAACGCAAGGAAGACAAGTAATGAACAGTTCACATAAACATCATTGTTATGTGGTTGTCGATACAGGGCATTCCGTTCAGATCCGCTAGGACATTGAAGCTTCCGAAGGAGAAGCTACACCCAAGGATCGACAGGTAGACGGATAGACAGACACATACAGACACATACAGACACATACAGACACATACAGACACATACAGACACTACGCAAATCACAATCGTCCGAAATCGTTTGAACACTTTGAAGGCACTGTCTATTTTCTTTGCACGTGTGCGTGCAGGAGATATTGCGGTATTTGCGTGTTAATCTGCATGTGTGTTTATTGCCTTATTTTCTTTTATATTCTTAAAGGCGGCGCGTTCTGTTGGCTTCGGTCAAGTTTAGCACTGCCTGAAGCGCTTTCCAAGCATCACATCCCTGGAAGGCAGAAGTCGACATCCATGAGCTCCTCAAGGAATATGAGAAGTTTGAATCTTAGTTTTTGATGTTTCTTTTTGTTTTTCTCTTGGCATATTGTTGTAGTTGTGTGCTCCAAGACAGCTTCAGGGTTCGAGCTGGTGGCTGGTCAAGCCGATCAATCACTCCACTGCGTTTGTTGCCACTCATGGGACATGAGTCCCGAAACATTTGTCTTGTAAAAAGATAGTGCACCAGTCAATGTGTTCTTGATGTACACTATAATAAATACGTATACATACACGTACACACACACACCCCTATTCTGGTGTCATGTATTTCTCACCTCAATTCACATCAAGATTTTGTAGCTACTGGGTGTCATGGTGTTGCTCGGCCGGTGCTGACGACACGTGTGACGTTGGAAGGGCCGTAAGAGAGTTAGGTTCAACCCACGAGGTTTTATGTTTTTACATGTTTTTACTTGACCTTACGTTCGCTGCACTCCTGATCTTGCCATGGAAGCATGACTCGTTCCTCGGCCTGAGCGAAGCCAAGGCGCCTGCACAAGATCGAGCTCTGGCAGCAACAACACGGCACTTGTCAGGCGCACTGCGGCACTGAATTTTGAAGGGGTTATAGAAGGAAATGTGTTTGTTCTGTGGCTTAGACAAGTGGGTGGCTTTCATTTCTGCGAAGAATCCCATAGTATTACACTATTACACGACGTGATTACCATGGCTGCAAAATGACCCTTTGCATCTTTTGCATCCTTTGCATTCTCACAGGAGTAAACATCAAGCATACATCTCCGGCTCGAAACATACAAATTATGTGCACTTGCCGGGGTAGGAAGATGAGGGAGATGAACTCCTGCAGTGTTCTGCAACAGTGTACTGTCCCTTCAGCTACGTATGGACTCAAATACAACTCCTCTATGTGCATCACATTGTGATCATATTCTTAGTATTTCTTAATCTTCTTCTGGACTTGTGCTCAGGAAGTTTGGCGCGAAAACCTGCCTCTTGGCGCTGACTCAAAAAGGTCAGTCTTCAAGCCTACGAGCAATTGCCTCAGGCTTTGCAAAGCTTGGCATTTGCTTTACATATATATATATATAATATGTATATATATATATAATATGTATATATATATATAACATCATATTATGTGTGAAAGCATGTGCAAATCTTGTAGCATCTTGTAGCTTCAGAGTGCACTCTGCAGAGCTTGAATCTGATCCACAAAGATTCTTGCTTGGCCATGCTGCGCTTAGGCCCCAAAAGTCAGATCAGCCGACCCGCGGCAGAACACACAGGCGACCGGGTGACACCGGGACATCCTATTTGGTCAGCTCGCATCCCGGAGGGACCGGAGGGAACCGAAAACAGCGGCTTGGCGAGGTGAGACAGCACCTTCACAAATAGCAGCTTCACCTTTGCGGAGGACCACGGACACTCATACGACAATGAAATTTGGACGTTTGAAATACAAACCATTCTCCGATACTCCTTCTAGAGTTCCGCGAATTCTGCGATCCAGTCTCAGCGGCGCCATCGAAGAGTAGAAAGCTTAGCCTCCAGTTCAATAAGCACAAGTTAAGTTGGCAATAGTAGAGCTTCATTTGACGAACTTCAAATTCTCATAAGGCGCCCAGAAGAGGCTGATGTTGGGCACTTGGTATGGTCCATGGATGTCCGTCGGTTCATGTTGCTGCGGAGATCTGGGCCTGAGTTTGTTTTGTTCCAAAGTATATAGCTTATTTGTGGCTGAGTTTTTTTAGCACAGATAAGTGTACCTACCACAGTGCCAATCTTGGTAGTAGCAAAGAAAAACATGTTGGTATTGCTACGCAAATCTGACTGAGGGAAACCATCCCTACAGCCAAATGTGGATGAATTCCAAACTGCTTGTTGCTCAGCACTGCCGTATTTGCATTCACTGTCCACAGCTTCAAGCCGGCGCTTCCTTGCACGTTAGGCCCTTTCTTAAACTTTGATTTTGAGCCACCGATATTTTGTGGCAATTCAGACTAATTACTGTATTGCTTGTTGCGGTGTCAAACGATATCAAATCCAATGAATGCCACTTGCCTAGGCAGAAAAAAGAGGTGTTTGATCAGGACATTTTTCTGGCGCGAGTCCAGCGGCAATTTTGTGTTGAGAATAGAAAACAATGATTCAACCATCGAGCTATGGCTTGGCGTTTGGCTATGGTTAATCACGGTTAATCTCATCGTTGTCTTTCTTGCATCTGGCGGCGTGATAGAAGAGGACCTGCTGCAGTCAATCTATGACAAGTCAATACAGCGGGCGAAACGCTTAGTAGCATAGAATTTCACTATGGAACGGAACTCTGTACAACATTTGGCACGTATTTGAGTATTTGCATGTTTGAATCTCATCAACTCTCGCAGCAGAGGCACCAGCATTTTGTGGTGTATATTTATATTTATATCTGACGAAATAGCAACAGATTTTGCTGAATAGCTCAGGTCAGAGGCAAAGCGGCAGTTTTTGGAGGGGGTCTCATGGCGATCATGCGGGGCTGCCAGTGTCGTCCGCGAGTTGCACATGTTACTTGCACGTTTGCCTCAACATGCCTCAACAGATTCTGCTTCAGGTCAATGCCGTTTGGCCCTATTGGCATGGCCGCTGGTGGCATCTTTGGTGCTTTAGCGCGAGAGCCAAGTCTTCGCAAGAGCTCACACCGTGCACTGCAGAAGAGATGTATTTAAGCAGAAAACACTTTAACAATTTAAACAGATGCTTATCCATGTCGACAAGGTGGGCATGCTAGTTGGGTCAGAGGCCCAGAAGAACAGCTTAAGTGGAACGGGCACAGCCAAACACAGTGGCTCTTGGACCAATCTTTGTGTTGCCTGGCTGTGCATGGCTCACAGGTGGTCACAAAAATTGAATCCATTCTTAGGACTAGGCCTTCTAGGCAGCCGAGCCATGTCTGACAGTGACGGAGACGAGTCTGATCTGGAGCTTGATGACCTCTTTAAACGTCGACGGTGCACCGATGTCCCCTGCTGCATCCTCTTTATCGTGGGGATGGGCGCTTTGCTGGGGCTTTTCATCTATGGTTGTGTCCACGGCAACACGAAGAAGTTGAATCATGGCATTGATAGCAGGGGGCAACAGTGCGGCGTTGACCCCATGGTGATAGACAGGCCCCTTCTCTACTTTTGCCCGGTGAGGACTTCGCAAGGGGAACAATCGGTGAATTTGGATGATCCGATTTGTGTATCGGAATGCCCAGGTCCTGGTTCCAACCTTGCCACTGGCTGCAACACTCCGGAGATCTACCCAACAACTCAGGTTGGTAGTCGGTATTGCTTACCTTCCTCCTCAGGTGAAGCACAGGCAAGAGAAAAGGTGGAGGAAAGCATGAGAAGCAACTTCAACAAAGTTTGGGTGCTGCTGGAACGTGTGGGCAAAGCCTGGCCTGTCCTCTTGTTGTCGGTGGTCCTTGCTTGTATCATGGGATACATTTTCCTCTTCATGCTGAAGACAGTGGCACGCTGCATCATTTGGGTCTGTGCGGCAATAGGCCTGTTGGGATTCCTGGCATTAGGAGCCTATTTGTGGAGCGTAGCGCAGAAGAACACTGGATCTATGCAGTTTACCCTGCAGGCCTTGGCTGTGATTTCATGGGTCTTGAGTCTACTAGTTGGCTTCCTTGTTTGTTGCTGTGGCTCAGCAGTCGATCTTTCTACAGCTTGCATGGGACAGGCTGCTATTGTCATTTGGCGCATGCCAGTACTTTTGTTGTCTCCTCTGATCAAAGCAGTTCTGAAGACTGTGGTTTTCATCGTACTTGCTGCTGGTCTCATTCAACTGATATCCATTGGAGACGTCTCAGGCATGGGCAGAGCCCGACACTTGTCTCTGTCATCTGCGCAAATTTGGATGGTCGTTGGATACCTCTTCTTGTCGTTTTGGCTCTTGGCCTTCATGAGTGCTGTGTACCAGTTCTCCATTGCATATGCAGCAGCTGGCTGGTACTGTGCACCCTGCAAAGACTCCACATCAACTCGGAAGATCGTGAACCAATGTGCTGTCTTTGAAGGGGTCCGTATTGGTCTTTGGTACCATACTGGCTCCCTTGCAGTTGGGTCCGCTCTGATTGCCTTTCTCCAGTTGCTCCAAACAGTGCTAGAGTGGGCCGAAAAGAAGAGCAAGATGGAGGGCGATCTCAATCCTGTTACCTCTTGCATAGTGAAATCATTACTTTGCTGTTGTAAGTGTGTGGAGGGCATCGTGCAGTTTGTGAACAAGAATGTCTACATCGACATTGCTTTGACATCAAAGGGATTCTGCACAGCACTTGGAAGCGTGGCAGAGATCATCATCCACCACGGAGCCGCAATGGCCATCTTGAATGGTGCAACATTCATCTTTCAAATTGTCGGCTTGGCTTCGATTACTGCTTGCTGTGGCCTTGTGTCAGCCCTCTTATTGTCGACCTCAAAGTACAGAGACATTACGAGTGCCGCATATTTACCAAACCCAGGTGCTGCAATTGCTGTTTCCTGCATTCTTGCGTTCATTGTGGGTTGGGCATTCATGGCAATCTTTGATATGACCTCAGACACCTTGCTGATCTGCCATGCTGAAGACCTGCAAAGATCAGATGGTCCAAAGCACACGGAGGACAACAAGGAGTTTGCTGAGATGTACGCCAAAGCTGAGGAAAGAGCAAAGGAGCTGCAGGCGCAATCTTCAGATGATGAGCAGCCAGGCCGCTACTCTCGACGTGGCTGAGATGGCTGATGTCACATGTCGAGAGATTCTCGCGCCCTCTCTCTCTCTCTCACGTATTCTTTTGCTCAAAGTTTTAGTGCGTCAAAATGAAATCGATTAAGATAATTAAGGATAATGAAATGTACCATAGGCCTTGGACAGGCACAAAGAGGTAACAAAGCGAGACAAAAAAGATGCTTGCTCCGTGGAGATTCACGTGCTTTGAGGTTAGTGCCTCTATGACGACAGAGTTTGCTGTCGTTTCTGATGCTGTGCTAGTTTTTCTCACCAAGGACATGCCTGGACAGACGAAGACATCGCAGAAATATCCAGCAGTCTGAGTTGGAGATGAGACGATTGAAGAGTTTGGCACCATCCTCAGTAACATGTAACAACTCAGAGATCCATAGCAGGCCATGAACGATACCAAGAGCATCCAAGAGCATGGCAGGCCATGCCATCTCTCTTTGAAATCTGGATAGCCCCGAGATACCCGGAGAAATCCTGAGATGCCCTCAGGTTCGGTGGTCTGCAGAACGTTTCGCGGATGAAGACGATCCGGAAGCTGCAGTGCAGCACATGGAGATGGCCTGGAACCCAACATCGAATGTGGACCATTGGAGATGTCAGGTGAGGAAAGTGCTATCGATGTGTGAAAAAAATGAAAATGGCATGGTGATAATTTAAGCGCTTACGCGCGACAGCCGGCCAGGGGCCCAAGTATGTTGGCACATTTAGTGGCTAGGTTGGCCTATGTTGGCGTATGTTGGCCTATCGTGCGGGCCATGTGGGCCCATCTTGTGGCTATGTTGGCCTATGTTGGCCTCATGTTGACCCATGTTGAGCCAAAAGATCCGAAAAATGGGAACAGGGAAAAAACACTGTAAAACGCAGGATATTTTGATGGTCGGCGGCCGATCTTGGGGCTATGTTGGCCCATCTTGGGGCTATGTGGGCCGATCTTGGGGCTATGTTGGCCCATCTTGGGGCTATGTGGGCCCATCTTGGGGCTATGTTGGCCCATCTTGGGGCTATGTTGGCCCATCTTGGGGGCTATGTTGCCCCATCTTGAGGCTATGTGGGCCCATCTTGGAGCTATGTTGGCCCAGCTTGGGGCTATGTTGGCCCATCTTGGAGCCATGTTGGCCCATCTTGGGGCTATGTTGGGGCCTATGTTGGCCCACGTTGACCCATCTTGAGCCACAAGATCCGAAAAATGGCAAAAAATGGGGAGAGCACAAAACACCGTAAAACGCGGTAGTTTTTGGCGGGGGGAGTGGGGAAAAAAATGTCTAAAACAACAGTTCATAGAAGTTTTTTTAATTTCAATTATAACAGTCTAAGCACAGATTTTTAATATTGTTGATTACTTCATTTTTTCAACAATATCAAAACTATAATGAAAATCATAACAGTCAAAGTATAGTTACCTCATCCATTTTTGAAAATCACAACAGTTCAAAGAATAATACCATAAAACCATAACAGCAAAATAACAAAACCCAAAAACAGAACAATCAACAAACAACAGCAAAATCATCACTACCTACCGACCATGTTACATTTTCGACCTGTTGATCCTTCGATTTGCGATGCGCGTACGCGTTTGCCAAAATGAAAGATGCAGGGGCTAGGGTAGAGAAACACTGTGTTTTTGCAGGGTTTGGGAAGCCTTCCCATGACCATGTTACATTTTTGACCTGTTGATCCCTGCGATTTGCGATGCACGTGCGCGTAAGGTATGCGTATGTAAAATAGGATGCACAGGGGCTAGGGCAGAGAAACGTTCTGTTTTTGCAGGTTTTGGAGCCCCCTCATGACTATGTTACATTTTCAACCTGTTGATCCCTGCGATTTGCGATGCATGTACACGTATATGTACGCGTACGTATTTAAAATGTATAGGATGCAGGGGCTAGTGTAGGGAATCACTGTGTTGGGGCGTCTGGGCTGTGATTCGGAACGAATTCACAATTCAGTGGATGATAGGCTTTGAAATGCCTTGACAAAAGGGATTGGACATGCTGTGAGATATTTTGATATTGTGAGACTTTCAATGTCATTTTCCAATATGACTGCATGTTGCATGCACGGATGATTTCTTGGCACCAAGGAGGGAACAAAAATTATAGATGGCCCCTGAAGGGCATTTTCAAAGGATACGCATGGGTCCCCTATAAAATTAGAACGCCCAGGTTAAACGGGTGTATTGGCAAGGGGATGAAAAAAAGGCTTTACGTGCTTGTGACCCCAACTGGACATGTTACATTTTTAGCATTTTAAAATTGTAACATGTTTCTTTTGGGTATGTTGAATGTATGTTGATCTGTCTTGGAGGCTATAAAGACCTAAAAATGTAACATTACATTTTTAGGTGTCTTAGATCTATATGGGGTTACATATGGTAGATTACGTGCTTAGGGGGGGTAGATGCAGAATTTCCAAAACCTGCATGTTGAACATATGGAAAATGTATGTTACATTTTTTAGGTCCCCCCCATCTAAGGTAGTAGGGATTGCATGGATGTTTTCAACAGTTATTGCTCTTCTTCCTTGCGCGCTCACCCTTTCGCAGCCGGGGTCAGCGGATATTACACTGCGACATTGCGATCTGTTCATATGGATTTGGTCCAACCATTTGCACTTGAAAAGCAACATCTCCAAGGTTGTCCTCGAGTTCAGGCCTATAGCTGACATCGCTCTCGCATCAAAAAACGCGCTAGCTCCTCAGCAACGCCACAAGCAAGGTGTTTTCAGCACAAGAGGCTCTCAGGGCAAACCCTCCAATGTTGCAGTACTTTTCTACAACATTCTGAAAATGGTGTCTTGTTTCTGTTTGAAAACATGCAACTACAGTAGTTGTGGTAAAGTTTACCACTTGTCACCGACGTCCCGCCTAGCAAGTTGATGGTACCTGCGTCATTTTGCGGGCCATTCAGGCGGAAAACTCTGCATTTGCTAGATTCATGGGCTGCGAGACGGAATATGATGAGACAGGTTTGGGTTCTTGCCTTACTGAAGACCAACTGGGTGAGTTTGTGCCGATTGGCACCAACATGAACCACGCAGATCTAGACTGATCAAGACAAATCTGAACTCACATCTTCTTATGTCCTGTTTGTTCCTTTGCTAGGAGCTGTTTGCAGAATTTTCTGGAAGTAAGAGTCCTGCTCTGTTGCAACAATGAGCTGGCATTGTTCCATTGAGTCAGGCAGAATGTCATTCCAAAAAACTGTTTTCGACAGACGTAGCCTCGAGGTATACATGGACAACATCCTCATGAATTGGAAACACTTGACACAAGCAGAATTTTTTCGCAGTATGTGGCGCACTCAGCTGGTGGTCAAAGGCTAATTCCCTAGCTGCAGACCTAGGATGAATATGAATGAAGTGTGGCACTTATTATTGAGTTTTGATTGTACCTTTGGGCAACAATTTGCAGATTCAACCTTGACCATACCCTGTGCCGGAGCTTGGTAGAGTTGACAAAGAAGAACCATGGGAGACAAGGATGAGCATCTGATTAAAATCGCCAGATTGCCGAACAAATTTGATAAGCAAGAAAGAAATACTGTAAGACTATTGGCGATATTGCACTTCGTTGACACTCATTTTTGCACAAGAACAACACGGACGAAAGAAGTTGCTGGCTTCTGCATTGGAACATGCTCTTTACACCGCATGCGCATATATGGGAAGTATTTCGAATGGATACATGAAAGGAACAGAAACAAATAGTCTTGCTGTCAGAAGCATCCCACACATTGATGCCGACACCGAAACGGGGCGAGAGGAGTGCGGACCCGAACTTAGTGCCCATCATGCAGAGGATCAAAGTCTTCATATGAAACCGTCCCTTTTGAAATTTTTGAAATCTGACTGTTTTGCCCTCCGGAAATCCTGATCATGCTAATGCTTCAAGGCTATGGTCGTGCCGATTGGACGCGATTCTGCATACAACCCACCGGTTGAGTTACCTTCATCCAGCGCCTCCAACTTCTTTGAAGAAGCTGCGGCAGGAGTGGAGGGTTTTTAGGTTGTACGATGGCCATCGATGGCCACAGGATGTCATAGGCGCCTTCTGACCCTTCTGCAATGTAGGCTCTTTTGCTTGCCTCTCTAATTATCAGAACAGGTTAGTATCCAAATATCCAGTTGTTGCAATTGTTGCGCATGCCGAATCGGCCATCCCTATTCATCCCTGATCATCCCTGATTGTGGTCTTCACACGTCAGATGTCTTGACTTGCTCTCTTACTTGCTCTCTGGTTGTGCTCCACAGGAAGTGCTGAAGAGGCAGAGTGCCGCAGGAGATTTGATAGATTTGCCACAAAGCCTGGCAATATTGGCAATGAGCCTGACTTCCTTTCCTTTCAAGACTTCACAAGATTGATGGAGCACTATGAAGCGAGCGCTACTTCGAATTTGGTGACGTTTTTCTACGCCATCGACCGGAATCGCGATGACAAGCTGGATTTTCAAGAGTTTTTCTTGGGCTCCACAGCTGCTGACCCTCAAACAGTTCACATTCTCAATTCTTTTACTGGGAAGGAACGAGCTGCTTTCACATTTGACTTCTATGATGCAAACCGCAGCGGCTTTTTGGAGCTTGAAGAGTTCCAAAAAGTTTGCAGAGACTGTGCAATTGTAAGTCTTGATGATGCTCAACTTCGACGACACACCTTTGACAAAGCAATGGAGCTTGGCTTGATGCAAGAGAGGCTGGTTTCCCACAGAGTTGCTTTGAATGTGCAACATTTATCCATATTCCTGGAAAAGGCTTCCTGATTTGCAAGTGATTTGTCACGGGCTCAGCATTTCATTGCACAGGCGAGGGCGAATCATGGATGAGGAGCAGTCGTTCATGCCTCCCAGCCAGAGTCAATTCTATGAGTTCATCTCGAGTGCCGCTGCGGCTGAATTTCAGAGAGATATGCCCTTTCAAATCTTTCAATGTGACACCATGCCACGCATTGCCACGCCATGTTGCGACATCAGGAGCGTTTACGTGGTACCTCTCGTCTATTCCGCTTTGGGAAATCTTTAATCAAGCCACCGCGGCATCTAAGAAGACTTGACGCTCGGACCAGGTGTGCATTCTTATTCATTTGAGTTGAACAATAATAATAGTAATATGAACGTATAATGTCACATAATGTCATATGATGTCACATGAGTCACATGATGCCACATGTGACGGTGATTAAAGAAGCCAAGAGTCTTTGACACGTGTAGTCTACATTTGCACACACACACATAGGACTCACCAGTCTGCAATGATTTGTCAGTCAAGTAGCCTATCTGAGCTACGGATTGAAAGCAGGCAGCTGTTCAGCTGATACTCTGTTGGTGGCTTCAGTAACCCCCAAGGATGGTGATGATGCGACTACAAATGATCCCAGTGATGAGGTGACGGCGGTGACGCCTGCTCTTTCACCTCCATGTCAGCCCACCTTGCCTATCCTTGCCTCAGCACATCCGCAGGATTCTGATTGGCTGGGTTTTGACAGTGAAGAGACTCCGAGCTCAGCAGCGCAGGAGACATGCCAATAAAACACACAATAAAACATGTGAAGATGTGTGAGCACGAAATAAAATAACACAGTAATATACAATCCTAGATATACTAGATATATCCTGGATATACTAGCTCCTTTTGGCAAGCATATTTTTCAGCAGAATGCAATGGCAGAAGTTTCTCAAAGCGAGTCGAGTTTTGTCGCTGGTTTTGCTGGGCATGACAGAGAGGCTGAAAGCGAATTCAAGAGCTGCAGGACCTGGAGACGCTTCTCCCTTACACTGATCTACTTCTAGCTGCTCCAGACAGTGAACTGGAATTGGACTCACAGAAGGGCTCCTTGGTAGCGGATGACATTGACTTTTCTTCTGTGGCTTCGAGATGGTTCAAATATGTTCAAATGACAATCTTGGGTTCCCATCTGTTTCTGCATACTTTCTGTTGTTGGGTGACACGCCTTTGACCAAGGTTTGTCAGAGGCACGAAACGTTGCCAGTGAGGTGTTGCAGCCTGCCTTTTGATGAGGGGATGGGTCAAAGCTTACGATGCATATACCAAGTACTTCGATGTTGTCCGCTTACCCGGGTTTAGCCATGTTGAATGTCCGTCTCAATATAGCATGTCACAGGTCTCAATGTAGCACGTCCCATGAAGTGCTTCTACGGTTAAACACATTTAAACACGTGCTGTCAGCTCTCTGATAAAACATGAAAAAACCATCGCTCCCCAACTGGACCACGATTTACACAGTACCGACAGCGCCTCTGGCAGCATCTGGCAACTGAGGAAAGGTCTGAGTCATCCCAGTTTCAAAGAAATGGCGCCGCCAGCAGATGGCAGCTTCGCTCTAGCCACTGCAGATGATATTTGCGGACTCTGTAGCTGCCTTAAGATCCTTCAGATCCTTAAGCATTTGAAGAGCAGCCCGACCAGGCAGTTCATCAAGTCGTGCAGTGAGTTCCTTTGATCACTGAAACTGTGGGGATGCCCGAGGCAATGCAGCGGTCGAAATCATGAGGGATGAGGACATGGTTATAACCGATTTGTCTCCTCCATTGAAAGTCTTTGGCATCTTGATAGCACGAGGAAATCCGCAAGGTTTCCACGAAGAGTTGCAAATCACTGCAAGATCTGCAAGCAGCATGATTCAAGTTTTTCTTTAGCTACAATCACCTGCAGTTTTCTTCACCTACCTTCGTGCTTCACTGAAAGGCTGCACAGTAGCCTTTACTGTAGTAGTTGAGGTGCGCTCCATGGACAGCTGTGGGACCTGTTGTCCCACTTCAAGTGGCACCTTCCGCCAGTTATGGATATGTGCTATGGTGACATCGCGCAACTTGATTGAGCATCACAAAGCTGCCCTACAATGTACCATCTGGCAAATTAACATAGACCCTGAAAATGGCATTTTTGAAATGGAACTAATCTTCCAATCCCTATCTGGCAGGGTCTATGTTAATTTACCAGAGGGTAATTCGGACGTAGCACACTCTGTTCATGCCGTCTAGGTCCAGAAGCCTCTAGGTCCAGAAGCCTCTAGTCCCGACATTCAGGTACATGAGATACTTGTTCTTGGGTGACTACTGCGACCGTGGAAGCCACAATCTCGAAGTCTTGACAATTCTGTTTGCGCTCAAGGCCAACCAGAAATTATGAAGCTTCCACTGTGAGAAGCTACCAGTACAGTATGGTGATGAAGTTCTGACCGCCTGCAGTTGCATCCTACACAGGAATGGGTACAAATCAATGCAGCATTGGCAGGTCCTCAATAGAGACAAAGTTTTCTTACTCAGAGGACATCATGCTCCTTGGCTTCATATTCCCATCTATTTAGGATATTTTACAATAAATAAGAAAGGGCCCTTCTAGGCCGTTCTATCTGCTTTAACAAATGCAATGCTTTGCCTCACCTCCCCGACTTCCCCCGACTTCCCCACTTCTGACGGCCGCACCCCGAGGAGAACAGGCATGTGAATTATCACTTGGGACTACGAGAAGAATGCGTTCGACGGCTTGGCCAAGTGTCCGGCATGGAGGTCTATGAACAACTAAACCGAACGTTGCTTGGCACGCTTGGCTTGTCATGGCATCGAAGCATTTCAAGAGATGGGATGCTGAATATACGTATGAAGTTGCGAATTCCAAAATTGCAATTGATGCTTTTGAGATTACTCTGGAACACTTCATGAGTTTCATGTCAAGCACCAGTTTCAGCGTTTCTTCACTGCGTTTTCTTTGTGGAGAGAGAGAGAGAGAGAGACAAAGAGAGCGAGAGAGAGAGAGAGAGAGAGCGAGAGAGAGAGAGAGGGAGAGCTTCAAACTGCTCTTAGCAGCCAAAAAGGTTTGAGCATATGTCCCTTGCTGCTTTGGTTCTGGGTAAACTTCTGGCATTGGGCCCTGGAATTCTACCAACATCACTACATCGCATAGAGCCTTGTCGATCGTGCTGGCATCTTTTTCGGTGCGACGGAAGACTGCACAGACATGAATGTATGCTCAGTTTGCATGGTTTCATGAGTCTGGCCGGAATTACTGTACATCCTCTCAATGTGCCGTCCTTCTCGTTCTGAGGACCAACTGAAAAAATACAGGAAGCCTTTGTACTTGCCCCATCCCCTGCACCAGCGACCTAGTGAAAAGGCAGAGCGGCTGAATGAACAGGCGAGCTGCATCAAGCTGTGTATGCTTGCAGTTCATTTGTGCAGAGCTTAAAGCATCTCAAGAGACGATGCGTATTGTGGATTTGTCCTACGATCATTGATTTTTGCGGAAGAACATGAATCTCAGAGTCTATCTCAGAGCCTGCCTATTAGATCCTACTATATACTGTCTATGTATATATATATAATGTACGTAGATATCTTTGCGTTCCCCTGACCTGGTGATCTGATAGTGACCTGGCATCACTTCAAGCATTTTCACCTGCGCAAGTGGCCTGGTCAGCAACGCGTTTATCCAAGACCAGTTTCAGTTCACCCTGAACCCTTTTTTAATTCCGGAGAGCGTCTGAGCGCAGGGTTCTTCCAATAGTGGGGGTCTGTATCTCATCTTCTCATCTTCTCATCTTTTCACCTTCTCATCTTCACATCTTCTCATCTTCACATCTTCTCATCTTCACATCTTCTCATCTTCACATCTTCTCATCTTCACATCTTCTCATCTTCACACCTCCTCATTTTCACCTTCTCTTTTTCACATGTTCTCATCTTCTCATCTTCACATCTTCACATCTTCTCATCTTCACATCTACCCATCTTCACATCTTCACATCTTCACATCTGCTCATCTTCACATCTTCTCATCTTGCCCTCTTGCCGTGCCCTCTCTTTCTTTTCTATTTCTCTTCAAGGCGGGGGCAGGGGCAGTGCCAACGAGACGGCACGAAACGCAACCCTTTCGCACGAAACGAGGTTCGATCGCCAAACGCTGAGGTAAAATTGCGATTTCAACTTGTCCCGCGCAACCCTTTCGCACGAAACGAGGTTCGATCGCCAAAAACTGAAGTAAAATTGCGATTTCAATTTGTCCCGCGCAACCCTTTCGCACGAAATGAGGTTCGATCGTCAAAAACTGAGGTAAAAGTGCGAGTTCAAGTCGTCCCGCGCAACCCTATCGCACGAAATGAGGTTCGATCGTCAAGAACTGAGGTAAAATTGCGATTTGCAAGGTGTCCCGCACAACCCTTTCGCACGAAATGAGGTAAAGCTTTTGTGTGTAAAAGCGTCTGTGTGTAAAAGTGTCTGTGTGTAAAAGCTTCTGTGTGTAAAAGCGTCTGCGTGTAAAAGCTTCTGTGTGTAAAAGCTCCTGTGTGTAAAAGGGTCTGGGTGTAAAAGTGTCTGTGTGTAAGAGCTTCTGTGTGTAAAAGCGTCCGTGTGTAGAAGCGTCTGTGTGTAAAAGCGTCTGTGTGTAAACGCGTCTGTGTGTAAAAGCGTCTGTGTGTAAAGGCGTCTGTGTGTAAAAGCGTCTGTGTGTAAAAGTGTTAGTGTGTAAAAGCGTCTGTGTGTAAAAGCTTTTGTGTGCAAAAGTGTCTGTGTGTCAAAGTGTTTGTGTGTAAAAGCGTCTGTGTGTAAAAGTGTCTGTGTGTAAAAGCGTCTGTGTGTAAAAGCTTCTGTGTGTAAAAGCTTCTGTGGCTAAAAGATTTTGTGTGTAAAAGTTTGTGTGTAAAAGCGTCTGTGTGTAAAAGCGTCTGTGTGTAAAAGCGTCTGTGTGTAAAAGCGTCTGTGTGTGAAAGTGCCTGTGTGTAAAAGCTTCTGTGTGTAAAAGCTTTTGCGTGTAAAAGCTTCTGTGTGTAAAAGCTTCTGTGTTCAAAAGTGTTTGCGATGCATATGGTGTCTTGATACTCCTCTTCTCGTATGCTTATAACACATCTTTAATATATTGTTTTGTCATATGGTGTCTCCATACTAACAAGAGAAGACCCTGCTCCTCTACGCTCTCGGGCCATCCGTCGTGTAGTTTTTTTGTTCCCAGTCTAATTGAAAGAACTGAATGTGCATCAGAATGGCAGATCATATGATTCTTTCACGTTCAGAACTCGCGCAAATTCCACTGGCAGGTGCTTCTGGAACTCTTCACGCATTTTGGCCTAAAGTTGCTTCAGCTTACATTTCCTGTTTGAAGTCCCCACTGGTGAGTTTTGGTGACCTTGCAATCAACGATGATCAGATGCTTGAAAAAGGATGATGGTGATGATGATGAAGAAGAAGATGAATTTGATGACAATCACGATGGGAGGGTTGAAGATGTGAGTGATGACGACGGTGAAGATGATGGCGTTGATGTTGACGTTGATGCTGATGACAACGACGGCGACTGAGACGATAACAGCAATAATGATTCATGGTAACAGTGGAAATCCGCGGAGAGCTGGCAATGCTGAAGATTGACCAACAAAATCCAACCCATACGATCACATACGAGCACATACGAGCATCTTGATCATCCTCATCCTTAGCTACCAAGGCCCAGCGACCTTTTGCCGCCAGAACTTGGTTGCAGCAGTGAACGTGAGGGTGACCATGTGAAGGCGTGCTGAGACGGTGAGACTGCACTTGAGTAAAACTTAAAACTTTTAGGATATGAGTGATCTCCTCAGGATATGATCACGAGTGATATACAAATCAGAGAAGACTTGTTGATAGAACATTGACAGAATACTATATAATATGACAGAATGCTGTTCCAGGCTCCCGAACACGTCAAAGTGTTCCTCTGAGCTTAATCAAACACCATGTGCTCATCACTATCTTTGTCTTTGTCGTTGGTTGGTCATTATCATCATCGTCGTTGTCGTCGTTGGCGGCATCATCATCATCGTCGTCGTCGTCGTCATCATCATCATCATCACCATCAGCAGCAGCAGCAGCACCACCACCACCACCATCACCACCATCACCATCATCACCATCATCACCATCACCATCCCAAGTAATCATTTAAACACGCAACAACTCGTTGAAGGGGACGTCGCAACGCCAGTTTTATGAATTTGCTGGCACGTTTAGCGGGGCATTGCCCCACAAGCGCAACCCTTTTCCTCTGTGATACTTTGCACTTTGATTAGTGAAATCAAGAGTAGGCACACCTGCACACTAGTCATCCCAATCATCCAGTCACCCCAAGCGATATGCATTTATCTTGCCTTGCAAAGTCAGTTATGTGCAAGGCAAGTTATACAATTACAATCGGCGAGTTGATCCGAAATGATCTGAATCTCTTCTGGGCATCCTTTCAATCAGCACGCAGGTTTACTCAGGTTCCAATTTTTGAGCATCCCACAGATGGCAGAATTCTGGGCCTGATTGCTGTGAGGCTTTCTGTGCTGCCCAGAAGCTCAACATTGTGGTCGCCAGTCGGCAAATCCCTCCTAGTGGCTTCGCATACGACCCTGCAAGTCGCCTTCTCAGGACGGTTGAATAAAATCGGGGGAGGATCTGGACGCTCGAAACTTTTTGTAGATTAAGAGGGATTGAGATGAGAGCACCTGAAGCAGCTGTACGCTGTACAGGCTGTAGATAGCGGTAGGCTGTGTAGTTCACATTCCAAGATTGGACAATTCCCGAGCAAGAAGATTTTGTGCGCTGTCAAGTTTGCCCTCCCAGAGTAGGACTTGACAACTTTCCAAACGAAACGGTAGACAAAGTCTTTCTGAGTTTTGATGTGCCCTGCAAGGGTGTGCTCGTGCCTGAATTACTGCAACCTTGCCGTGGGAAACATGGCGGCCATCCTCTACATTGTTCTGAACGAAGAGAGCGACTGCGCGTTTACAATCCGGCCAAAGGTTTTGGCTGCGTATGGAGATAGCAAAGACTTCTTGGATGGAAGTCCCTGAGCATCAAAGATGTAGCTGTCAGACATCTTCAAACTAGATCAAACTACATCAAACTAGTGCATTTTTCACGGCCATGAATACCTTTCAGTTCTGAACGAGCAATTTTTGACTTCCAGATACTTCCAGTACCTTCCAATCGTTGCGAAATGTTACGAACCTCCCAAGAGTTGAAACTTATCTCTGCACCTAAGGACCCCAGACAAGCCAGCAAAATCCAAGCCGGTGGCCGCTACAAGAGCGCGCTCCGACGCCGGGACGTTTCCGAGAGCCGAAGGCCTAAGGTTTTGTGATACTTTTCATTTATCATATAGATAAATGATATTAAATGATGATATATGTAATATTGTTTGTTTCTCTCTCCCTCTCTCTATCTCTCAGTCTATCTACCCGCCCACCTAGCTAGCTAGCTAGCTAGCTAGCTGTCTAGTATCGTATATCTGTCAATAAAACTGTACGTGAAAGAAACAATAAAACATGTAGTGTATATTCCTTTCTTCTGAGCAGCTGTATTGGAGCCGAATTGAGCCTTTTACAATGTGGAGCCCAGTCGTCGCACCACACCAGGTCCATCGCCATGATCCGCCTGGGCGGCAAAGTCTGCCAGTGATCCATGTCCTGGAAGATCAAGCTGTTGCGACAGTGGAGGACAGATTTCTGCGACGTCAAGTTTTTTCTACCTTTGTTTTTCTTTTTTTTACTTTGAAGCATCATTGTCACGCATGGAAGTATGAGAAACGTTGTAACCTCGGTGTTTCTCAGTGTTCGACATGTTAAGTGTGCTCAGGACGGCCCAGTGCCTCTGCACTTTCCTGTGTGGGCTGCCAGAGTCACTCCAGTCAGCGATGCTGATGTCGGGAAATCACCATTTCGATCTGCGCAAAACTCAGAGATCATCAGAAATATGCATATAGAGATATCGTATGAGAAACGATGAAAACAGCTCAACATCTGCTAGTAGTGGTGCAGCTTCAGATAGTCTTGGCATGTCCTGTAGCCCTGTGAAGTGCTGCCCTGACAATACACTATGCCCGAGGTCAGCTCCCGCCGAGAAGCAGCTGAAAGTTAGGTCACAGATGATTATGTTGAATTTGCCTGAGTTTGCGTTGGGAAAAATGCCAGCTACAGCTAAAAGAAGCAACCAAAAAACACCTGTTTCCTTTTCAAGTCCAAGATTGTTTTTGCGTTTCAAAGTGAGCAAATTCAGCGCAGCATTGGGCTATTTGCTCGAAGTTCCATGAATTGGGCAAAATGCATTGCTCGGGAAGAAAAACAAGAAAAGGACTCCTGCGCCTGCAGGTGATTCAGACAGGAAGCTGCCTTCAACAATTTCATACAATTTCAAAACCAGATGGTGATATAACATAGTTTCACATCCTGCACCAAGTTCTTACAATGAGCAAGTAAACAATGCATGTTGAACTTTTTCAGGACCACAGGCTGTGCCTCCACAAACAAAGAAAAGTCAACACAGTAGCTGTTTTCCTGACGTGTGGTCTCATGATGCTCTAGGTACCCAAATCGTTTCACAAAGTTTTGGTGCACCCTTTCACACTTATTGAGTCCTTGCTCCTTTGAGGATTTTCTGGAATCTTGGGGAAAGGGGAGATGCACGGTTTAGACGGACGACTCTCGAATTTGAAAGATTTGTTAAGGCTGTAGTTTGGATCAAGATGTGTTTTGAAGATTGTCCAGCGCGGTATTTCAGAATGACCTCGAAGTTGGGAAGATCATGCTACGATCTATTTGCGTGACATGTTCCTCGCTTCTGAGGCAAGTGCTGCAGACTCTGCTTACCATGTACCGGTGCAGCAATCGGGTTCTAGCTGAGCCGGAGGTGGGACAGCTCAAATCTTTGGCATTAGAGTTGGTGGCAATGTGGCAATCTTCTGTGGCTATTTTCTGTAGTGTCATGAATCACAATCACACGGCCAGGCCAGGGATTCAAAGGTCAGGTTGTATCTGAGTCATAAGATAAAAACAAACTAATATACATACTCATGTAAAAACATATACATTGATATATGAAATAGCATGTGAGTCGTATTCAGCCATGTTGGTCTTCCACTGAGACTTGTCTTGAGGAGAACTTTGTCTTGCGAGTGGAGCGACTCTTAGCCAACAGGTCCGTGAGGCGAGCATCAAGCGGTGCTGTCCGGCAGCTGCAATGATTTCTGGAATGACAGCTTGCAGTATACGCTCATATATATTCATATACGCTCATGTACGCTTGAGAGTGAGTGCCAGTCCAAAAAGGGTCCACTCCCTTTTGGACCTGCCCAACATTCAATTTTCGATGTGCTCTCTAGTCTAGTGGCTGCAGGTATATTCTGTCATGGACTTAAAACGGCTCAGGGTTGGGTTGCATGGTGTATTGCTAGCGGATTCTTCCATATCCGGCATATCTGTCATGAGACAAGGATTTCGTTTGATTTGTCAGCCAATCCGAGGCAACAGCAGCAGATGTCCACGCAAGAGCAGGTCGCTAGTTTGCATGCTCATGGATACTTGTCGGCGATGTGCCAAGTCTGCTCATAAGACATAATGCATAATGTATCATCATATTCTGCAGTTGAAGTTGAACTCCTACCCTCCTTGAAAGGCCGCTGAAGTCATGGAGAGCATGATCTATGCTGACAACCGACGACGGAGAGGTGCTCCCACATACTCTTGGTGATGTGAAGATGAAGATGTCAACCTGTGATACCGTGAACTGCAAAGAGTTCTGGTCCAAGCCAGGAATTGTAGGAACGTTGCTTGTGTAGCTCATGTTTGGCCGGCTAGCAGGGCTCAATGACGTGCATTGTATGCATTGAGAAGTTTTGCAGCTTCGAAGAAGTCTTGAAAGTGGCGCAGGTGCCTCCAAAAGCAAAATGCTGGAGGAGGCAATCCTGCAGGGGAATCTTTGTCGAATTTGAGAGACCCGCAAAATGCTGGTACCCACTTTATTTTTACTACAGTAGATTTTACTAGCTGTCCAGAGTCCTTTTTCAATTTCTTTCATCCCTGTCTCGCGGGTTCTTCGGGTGCTATCACAGGCAGCTGAGGAGAATGAAGAACTTGAGCTTATATCCAACGTTGGTTTGCGACCACACGCAGGTGCCATGATACAG